CGCCTGCACCTGCGCCTGCACCTGCGCCTGCACCTGCGCCTGCACCTGCGCCTGCACCTGCGCCTGCACCTGCGCCTGCACCTGCGCCTGCACCTGCGCCTGCGCCTCAGCCTGCTCCCGAGCCTACTCCCGCAAATGTTACAGTGACGGCCACCAACCCACCAACCACGACTGCACCACCCACAAGCGGTAACGGAAATACCACTGCAGTTACCAAACAAGGCGAAGACCAAGCTCACACCTTCACCACTACCGATGATACCAAGCTTCTCGAACTGAAAGCTGCTGGCAAGACCTGGAAGGAGATTGTCGCCGAGATGAAGAAGAGTCAATCTGCTCTCAAAGAGAGATTCAAGGAGATCGGTCCGAAGGCGAGTGGAGGTGCCGCCAACGCCACCACAGTCACCAAACAAGGAGAAGATGAAGCTCACACCTTCACTGTTGCTGACGACGCCAAGCTCATCGAGATGAAAGCCGCTGGCAAAACCTGGAAGGAGATTGTTGCCGAAACTAAGAAGAGTATGTCTGCCCTCAAGGAGCGGTTCAAGGAGATTGGTCCAAAGGCCGATTGTGCCGCTGGTGCTGGTGCTGGAGCTGGGGGTGGAGCCGCTGAAGCGGATGACAAGAAGAAGAAGAAAGAGGAATCAGGCGCCAAAGCCGCTGCTGCTGATGACGCCAAGAAGGAAACCGAGGAAGAAAAGTCTCAGAAGAAGACTACTGTATGCAAGCACTGCGGCAAAGATGCGAGTGCCCCGGTGGAGAAAGAGGCAAAGGTGGGCAAACATCCTGTCCAACTTCCCATCCAAATCCTTGAACCTACTAACCCCCAACACCAGCCTACCCCTACAAAAGCCCAAATCACCGTGGCAGGATTGGCCGACGACTACGACCTTGGCAAATGGCGCTACGTCGCGTCCAGGTACTACGACCTCACCGGCGAGAGGGTGAGCGCCGAATGGGCGAGGAAGGAGGCCAAGGCCGGCAAGTTGTTTTTGCAGTAGATAGAATTGCGTCGTCGGTTGAGTTGGGACGCCTTGGAAGGCACTGGATACATAGCTAGCTGGCTGGATAAGTTGTAGCGGTATCATAGCTACACAGCTAATCGAAAAAAGAATTCGAGCTCAGAACTGCTTTCCCTCCCTTCTTCTGCAATCATTTTTCAAAGCCTTCTGCCTCCCTGCCCACGACGTATTGCAAAATATTCAAAATCCGTCAGTACATCACTTCTCTCTCCCTCCTTCGGAAGCTGCGAGGAGGTAGATCAAGGATGGTAAAGCTGTCTCCGCAATCGAGATAGATGTAAGCGAGCTCGTGGAATGGGGTTGTCTGAGGAGGGCACTGGATAACCGGAATATCGGACATCACCCTTTTCGATTCCTAGTCACCAGGCCGTCTGCACGCGACATGACGAATCACTGACTGTAAGTACTCATACTACCATGAGGAGGTCTTCATGCTCATGATACCTCGCTTTTTATGTTCATATGACACGACACTCGGGGCCCGTTCAGGGTGTAATATGTCGATCTGTCTTTCATATGTGAGTGGACCGTGTCCTGTACTTAGCCTTGGCCTTGTACTACCCTACCACGAACTTGAAGGTGGGAGTTTGATCCATGGAGTTGACTCGGCGATACTGGCTTGGTTGGGAATGGGAAGAGTTTGGGTAGGAAAGGGGGGGGATCTAGTGCTCAGGGGATGATCTCCCTTGGGCCGTACTGGATAGCTGAGTGACCACGTGAACTGGCTGCCGTGCATGTGTCTCTTCTTACTGTTGTCGGCATCCGTCGTCGTCATCACTACCGACTGGTGAGAGTGGGGAAGCTCAGAGCGTGTACGGAAGCTTCGGTGGTATAATGTGGTGCGGATGGTGGCGTGCCGATGTACAGTCGCGTCATAGATCCTTGTGCTCTCAATTCGAAGACAATGCATCCACATTTGTGACGATGCTGAATCTCTACTGGTTCTTCCAGGAGTGTCTACTCAACACAGACCCAAGATTATCGGCGGCAGCAGCAGCAGCAGTCATATAAAATACCGTGTTCCGAAAGGAGGATAAGTTGATAACCAGATGAACATCCATCTTCCTCTTTGCTCTCTAGGCTTTCTGGTTGGATGATTCGGGATCGGTCATCTGCCGTCTTGTGCCGTTGTCAGAGTCCTACCTGGTTTCTCTAACTGTTTTAATCCTCTAGTAGATTGGCTGGGGTATAAGAATGGATGAGAGACAAAAAGGTCTAGCTTATATCGTGGCTTTACCGAGGATTGCAGTCTGACGTGGTGGTAAGTCGGTACAAAGCAGCACGATGCAGTACCTTGATGCACAGGTCTAGCTTGACGGGTAGTTCTTGCTCTAAGGAGGCTGCCGTATCTGTCATGAGAGGGTTATGGCTCCTGTTGAGGTCAAAGACGATTTTTACGCCGTTCTCGAGGTATCGAACACTGCTACTTTTGATGTGATAACAAAGAACTATCGACGATTGGCAAAGATCCGCCATCCTGACAGAAATATTGGCAAGCACGACTCGATAGCTGTTTTCCAAGACTGTAAGGGTGAGTATCGGCTGGCTTATGTCGTTGAAGCTCCCAAATGCTTATGACACAATGAGCGACCCTGCAAAACGCCGATCGTACGATACAATATGGACAGGTATCACAGATAGACTACGGGTAAAGAAAGAATCGGAAAGATGACAGGCTGACGCCGCAGAGGCAGAAAAAAGGGGCAACTGAAGATAAAGCAAAGCAAAAAGAGGATGATGCGCGGCAGGAGCGTTTTAGGCGTTTGAACGTGACCAAGTCTAGATACGACAGTGACATCTTCGAAGTTAGTCGGGTGGTAATAAAGCTTACAGCAGACTTGAAACGTCTTTAGGATCAGGTTGATGAGGACTCAAGAAAGGAGAGAGAACGGAATGGCTGGTGGGCATACATGACTTCGCCTAATTATGGCAAGGTGGACGAAACAGTGGAGCAGAATCAAGCGCGGGAAAGCGCACGTCTCCATAGACTGGCCAGTAAGAGCATCCAAGGAAGCGAGTTGCGAGACAAGGAGGCCAAACTCAAGAGGCTACAAAGCGCGCTGCAAGATGTGAACAGCCAGATTGCCGTAGAGAAGCAGAAGGTGGAACACGCAGCATCGGCACAAATAAGGGAAAGGAAAGCTAGTAAGAGGAGATTCGCGAGAGGTTGACCAATGCCCGAAGGAACACACTGAACGCGCAGCGAAAGAAGCGCGCGAAGCTCAAGCGGCACGGGAGGCCCGAGAGGCACAAGAGCGTGAATGGAAGGCCGCCATGGCAGCAGCAGCGGAAAGACGCAGTATGGAGGCAGAAGAGCGGAGACGAGCAATGCGAGCAGCAGAAGAGGCAGCTCGGAAGGCTGAAGAGGCACAACGATATGTGATGAATGTGCGGGCTTGTGTTAGACTCGCTGGAGATACTTAACACTCCCTCCTTTTATAGATCAGTTATCGGTAGAGCGACTAACTTAGATAATGTAACACTAGCCGGAGCAGCCAAGTAACGATAGAGAAGCAATTACACTTACACACTATTACTGTTTAGTTTAAGTTATTAAGAGACTTTCAATATTGATGTTATATTGTCAAGACTGCGGCAACACTATTACGTGGATTGAAACTTATTTTGCGACAATACTATCTCACTTAAAGTAATGACATTTAGTGACACAGGGATAAGGGTACAGGGTTGTCTTGCAAACGGCGTTAGTGTTGCCAGTTGGGTATAGGGATGCAAGTCTCTTTACCTTAACACCAAATGCTCAGGTAACCCAGATTCCAACCTACCCCATTCAGAAGGTCAAGATGATGGACTCGATGGTCCAGAAGTATGTAGTCTACTACAGTACTATGGATGTATAAAGGCACTGACCTTGTGCGAGAGGTATAGGATAGTGACTGATCGATTGACTGCTCCTTGAGTCGATGGGTATGACCATCCCAGGGTCCACAGAAACATACAAATACATGAATGAGACGCCCTCTAATGATGCATTTGCCTCATGATGCTGATAGTTTATACAAATAAAATAAGAAATGCAATCCATCAACCCCTCAAACGACATGATTTTGCGGTAAATCTTTCGCGTTACCATCAGTGGACTCACTGTTCTGAACCCTGACTCCATTCATTCCCCTCGCTGGCTGATCCTGATGTCCACTTCCTAAGATGTTCTCACCGGACTCTAGATCCACCCGGTAGGCGTGTTCAGCCTTTGCACTCCGCCATCCCTCATTGCCAACATACGTGGGCACACCCAGACCGGTATAAAAAGCTCTCTCCCTGCTTCTCGCACCCCAAGACCATCCTGCACCGGTACGAATGGGTAGATGATACCAGCGAAAGCCGAACCAGGCAAAGAACGCCCCAAGAATAGACCCTGAGATGATGTCAAACCCTGCATGTCGGTAGTCTGACCAGCGGGAAACAGTGATGAAGGAAGCGGTACCGATTGGGACGAAAGCGAGTATCAGAAGGTACACGGGTGGAGCAGCGGCTTGGTTGCGTAGCGGCACGATGCCGTGATTGTGATCAACCTCATGTTTATGGTGGTGGTGATGGACCTCAAAAGAAGTAGGATTTTCGTCGTTCGAGTATGTTCGAGGGGCGAGGTATGGGATGGAGATGGCGAATTTGGCGCACAAGAACAGTGTGAGGTATAGCATCCCAGCCCATGAGAACGAAGCGTGTCCGGATGGCCAGGCGGCAAAGCCATCTTGCAGAACAAACCTGGACTGGTTGCGACAGATGCGGTAGTCGACCATAATTGGAGCATTATCAACCAGCGCGCCAAGTCCAGAAACAGCATATTGCGTGACCAGACTGAGATCAGGATCACAGCGTGACAAAAAATCCGGCCTTGGTTTTCCCACCAGGTCTTTCAACCCTTCGGTGATCATGAATGTACCTGCAAGCGAGACACCCAAGCCCATCCAACCTGTATTCCACTCCCAAAATTTGCGACGCCACTTCAGCGCCTTTGATGTGCCCCTGGCGGCTGTACGTCCCGGGACGAGGAGCATGCTGATCAGGAAAATAATGACACCAGGCGCCACTAAAGAAACGAGGAGCAGAACCGAGGTCGTGACAGTATTTGGTTTGCTTGGGTAGGAAATATCCGGGTCGATTAAGGAGAATACATGATGATTTCCATCGATCTGGGAGAATGCGCCGCCAACGCCCGCGGTTGCTCTGAGAAAACGTCAGTTTCTGATGTTTCAACCAAAAAAGGGAGGTGACCATACAAGATGACTATCCAGTCAAGTATATATGAAGTAACGATTCGTTTAGAGAGGTGTTTGATGGCTGCCCTCACGGCAGCAACTGTACTCGCCATGTCGCGTGACAGGTAAAATAAAGAATTGCTATCCGACAGCTTATCAACAGCATAAGACTAGAAGCTTAGATCTCCAGGAGAACCAACCAAAAGGGAAACAGCGCAAGTTGATGACTGCAGAATGTTCATGGTAAAGCGTGTACGTAGTCCTCGGAGTACTCGTCCTCATTGAGGTCGGTTCACTTACGTAGTATGAAAGGGTCCGGCAGTGGCTGAGATTTCGAGCTCGATTTGGTGATCGACGTCAAAACGTCACCGCCACCGGAAGCGTGGCTCATGAAACCGGATCAAACGTCTACGCAGTAACTTTACTACGTATGTCTACCATGACAAATGTGCCGCGTCATCTGGCTACTATTTAAGTATCATGAGTGACATCAAACCTACATCAGCCGTTGACCTCCTACTAGCAGATTCCCGCCACTGAATCCTGCCCGTAGGTTCGAGAGAAGCTTTCCACCCAGTGCCGATAATGCTTGATCCAGTTGGAAATGCCGACACAACACTGAATACCAACCATAGTAGCAGCTACTACCAGGCCTAAGATCTGCAGGATTGAACAAACTGCTGATCTACAACTGGAGAAATGCAATGTCACATATGTGTTGAGCTTTCTTTCTGTCTGTTACCGAGAGAACACTGCCTCAATCCCGACAAAGGTATGTACATGCACGGCCAGGTTGCGATGAACCTTCCAAGTACCTTCAACAGCGCGCACGCAGTCATCATCCACCCGAATGCAACTCTTAGCAGAGCTATGGGACATGATCACCGATTCACCCTTGAAAAAGGTAATGTGGATTGTCACGTCCAAGTTACAAAAGTTCCATCACGGAACAGTCCCTGTTCTTCTCCTCTTACGACCGCCGGCCTTCTTTGACGGCTCAGCTTCACGAGCTGGACTCGGACTTACAAAGCTGACATGCTTCTCCTCTCTGCCGCTAATGCTCCTGCGAAATGCAGATGCCCGCCGTGGAGGAGCAGGTGGAGGGTGATGTTTTGCAGTGCCAGTGTAATCTGACTCCGTAGACCGATTTCGAGTAGACGGACCACCCTCATCCCCATCTTCAACTTCAAAATCTAGGTCTCGGTTCTCGGTATCGATGGAGCAAGAAGCAGAGTACGAAGGCGAGTGTGCTTCGCAATCATCGTCCCCATCGTCGTCAACCAGGCTCGGAGCTTGATTGATTTCATTAGTTGGTGAAGATTCTAGCTCGTTGCCATGTAATGGAGGCACACATGGATGCGAGGTGATAACATCTGCCACTGCTGGGGGGGCAGGTGGTAGCGAAGGCTGATCGGCGTCGTGTAGCATGCGCGACTTGTGCGCTCCCTTCCGGCTGCCAGAAGGTGAGTCTGGTTGTACTGTCGCTGTGGAACACGCGGGTTGCATGCTTCCGGTGAGATGTGGATGTCGTCCAAGGGGGGGAGCTTCTGCCATTTTGGAGTCTTCATCGCCTTCGCCCTCGCTCTCCGAAGGGTCATCGACAGGTACTGAGGTTTTCATGTAAGCCACCAGGCCTTGAAGATCGAGGCTGGCTCCCTTTCTCTGCATCATACAAGATAAGTTAGGGGTGAGTGGTGACGGGGTAAGTTGAGTAGCTAAAGAATGCTCGGCTATATCGGCGACGGAAGATTTCAATGGCTGTTCATCTGGAGGACCTGTCCCCGCCCTGGTTGGCCTAGGATCTGATGATTTCTTTGGCGTCTCTTGTTTCGGAAGAAGAGCAGTGTAGATTAAAGGATGAACCAGTCCAGTCGTGGAACTGCCGGCAGATCCCTCACCACCTATCACAGCACCAGCCTCATCCACGTCCACAGGTTCGCCACATGCATCAGCTGCAGCGTCATGACTCGCAAAATTTCGACTATGGGCAATCCTGCAATGGTTGATGAAACCTTGCGCGCTCGAAAAGTTGTCCCGTCGACAGTCGAGACAGACGAGCTTGACGAGCAGGCCGTCAGATTTGCGTTTCTGAATCATCGGACCAGCTTTATCCTTCGGTTGTGGATAGCCGCTGGACAGGGCATGAAATTTCCCTGCTCGTTGGGCCTTTGACTTGCCTGCAGCCGTGCTTGAATCTGCGAAACTGCCTCGCGTGGACCTACCCTTGGTTGGTGTTTTGCCAGCTGGTGTGTTCAGACCAGCATTCCCAGGCACATCGCCTCCATCGAACAAGGGATCCGGTAATAGCCATTTGGCGTAGTGCCTTGTGTACGGTCCATCGGTGACACCCCATGGGGCCGGGGATTCGGGTTGCACGGTTAACCTCGATGATCTGACGACTGGACCTAGCCCTTGGCTAGCATTTTGGGAAAGTCCTGTCACCGGGTAAGGGATTTCCGCACACCGCCGTAACTGCTCTAGCGCTATTTGACACTTGGCGATCTCCTGGTCGATCAGACGAAGTTCATTGTGCTTCAACAGGATCTCTAGACTGATCTGTGAGTTCAAAATTTGACGAAGCGTCTGCTTGTCGGGCTTCAGCCGAACGGTGGAGGGCGCGTCCAAGACTGGTTGTGCATTGTCCATCTCTGTCTGCTCAACCTTTCGTGGGAGGTCGAATTGCACTGGCATCTCATTCCTGGCAGGGGAAGCGACCGCCAACGGCTTTTCTATTGGCGTTGGGTTTGCGGGGACGAACACTTGCGGTGGTCTCTCCATGCGCCGTTTGTTGGGTCTCTGGGACAAGTCAACCTCGCCACTGCCAACTCGTTTGCGCTTTAACATGGGCGACTTCTGCAGCTCCATAGTAGGCGACCTATGTCGCTGGGGCGCAAAGTAGTTGATCTCCTGCGATGTTATCCTATCGGCCGCAAGGCCAGAACTCCAGGAGAGAAGGCGCAACATGCCACCACCAGCGGTATCCACCGCGTATCTGCTTTAAAATGCTGCCTAGGCCGCGGGTCCGTCATCGGCAAAGCCTATAAGTATTCTCGAAGCATACAAGGGGATATGTGGTAGGCGTGTTCAGGCAGACGCGTTGGGGAAAGCTAATGACAGCCTAGTGTAAATCGCTTCAGGCACTTAGCTAGGACGGTAGGTGATTGGTTGTGGCAATGCGACACGTTATTCGAGCAAGGTCGTCGAGTGTTGGAAGAAGTGGAGGGAGGAATGCGCCAGAAGAAGCGTTGACAAATGAATGACGTGAAGACAATCGGGAGAGCGGGAAACGGAGGGACGGAAGTGTAAAATAGCCAAGATGATCGCTGGTATATCACGAAAGAAGGCTGAAAGAGATATTAAAAGCGTTGTGGTAGAAGATATCGCAAGGAAAAGAAGTTATATCAAGGTGTGGAGGACAGTGTAAGGATCATGTCAGGAGATGAGATGAGGGAAGCGAAGGGGAAAGGGAAGGGAAAGGAGGGAAGTTGCGACGTACCATCAAGGAAGAAGGCGCGGCCAACATCAAGCCATGCCTGCCCTGGACTAGCCTCACACCCTAGCTCAGTGCCAAGCTCAACGCCAAGGTGGCCAAGGTGGCCCATGCTCAGCCTGGTAATGCCAGGACTAAGTAGTAGCCTAATGGTAGTGGCGAATGTCTCCACGTGATGCTCTGGCTCCACTTCCTGCTTACGTAGTACTGAATTGGAAGGGGCGGAAGGGGCGGAGAGAGGTGGTTTGGGATCCTCATAATGTCCAGGGAGAAGCTGTTTCCACACTGTAACACGCCTATCCTTCATGATATTCTTTTGATACATGACGTGAACGTAGACCAGACATGGATATTGCGAACGCGGAACAGGCAGTCCAGAGCTACCCCCTTGGACAAGGCCCGAAGCAGAGCGTGGCAACATTCAACAGCCTGGTTCATTCCCACCAGCCCCCAACAACCAAAACCCGCCCCACGAAGTCCTACAGAAATCCTTCCTCGATAGCATACCGCATCCATCTTTGCATTGAAACACAAACAAAGAAGTGGCCAAAAGTCGTGTACTACTGATGTGTAATGACACTTTTATGGCCGTCCAGCTTCCACGCCCGGACCACCTGCATATCCCTGACTTCGCATTACGCCGTTGGTGATGGTTCTATAGACACCATCCACTGCATGATCTCGGTTGTCGTTTACTACTCCTGAGTTAGTGCCCTGATTGGCAGCTTCGGTTCGCTTATACTCGTCCTCATCGTAGCTTGGCGCTCGCTACTCGCTCTTCCCGGGTAAATCAAACTCATCGGCGCGATTTTTTTTTCCAGTTTTCTAGTGGTCGTACTGGATCCAACGTCTCGTCGTTAAGCGCCCTCACGAGGAGATAAAACCCAGTTGTCACAAGTGTTCGAGTAACAGAGCAACCCAGGTCCAGTGGTACCCCTTATCGTCGTGCACGACAACACAAGGTCCACAGGATCGAGGAGGAGTGGTAGAACTTCTAGTATAGTATATTCCATCAAGCTCGACTAAAAACAGCCTCGAACCAATACCGACCAGCACCAGGAACTCGCCGTGATGCTCCTCGTTTGCCAGCATCAGGATTACGAAGACAAGCTCAGCAGTTAAATATATCTCATTGAAAGCCTTCGAGCGATGGAAGTGCGGACGTAGAGAGGACCAGGGAGCAAGACAGAAACGACCGCAGCGGCCGCCATACCACCCAAAACGTTGAGAGACGATCACAAGGACGTCTCGAACGTATGGGATAGGCCCAGAAAGACATCGCGCGAGTTTCAACTACATGCCAGTCAGAGTAAGGACTATTCGAGGAGATAAGCCTCCTCGCCGACGGGTTGAAAAGACCTCCATTGATGCTGAAGAACACCAACGCGTTGACCGCCAAGGGGAAGCCAAAGTAAAGAGCAGTATAGAGCAATCTTGCCGCATCGGCATGTAGCACGATGAACTGACCTGCGAGTGGAGCAGTATTGACGACTTGAATTGCACCAAAAGCGAAAGGTAAAATAATAAACCTGCTAACGAAATCTCCCGCTATCGCAACAAGCTGAGCTCGGATCATCTTTAGACGAGTCACTCTTGTTGGAGTCGCGGACACGGCTTCTACCACTCATGCCTGGCAGGATGGAAGGGAGCCGTTCGATGGGTTTCCCAATGGCGTCTCATAATGGCAATTGAAGGTTTTCAACTTGTAGAAAGAGGAGGGAGAGAAGAAGATTATGACTGAGCTTTCAAGCGGAGATAAGCTCTACAGAGAGGAACGACGTAATTCGAAAGAGCTAAGGATAAGAACAATAGGCGTGATTTGCGGTTGACGCGTTGACACTCTTCATATGCAACAAGATATGGCGCAAGGTACGATGCTGGCGAGACACAGGAAAAGTAGATGAGGTCAGTTACACTTATGATGACTTGACTGTGGCAGAGGTAGAGGTAGAGAAGTTTAGCAGGAAGAAAACCCTGTCATCCTATAAGCCAGAGTCAGAGAAAACTGAATGGTGTGCTGGTGAACTCAAGCGGATTCTGATAAACCAAAACCTCAGTTCTATGACCTGGAGTGTGACTGCACTGTGCGTGGGCATCAAGTCATCAATTCTGGTGCAATTTCAAGCGTCTGGTCGTCCGGAAGTCCAGGATGCACAAATGCGGTATTGGAATATGATCCAGGGAACCGAACTGTAAGACTGCTGTAGCAGGATTGCACATGGCCAAGACGGTGGTGTATTACGCCTCCCTTCCGCGTATCCCTTGACCGCAGGAAGCCACTGAGCAACTCCAGTAACGATATTACCTTTCAGGGTTCGGCATGGTTGGTGCTTGACAAGGTGGTCTGATTGCAAAGTACCCCATATTGATATCGATTGGCGGGTAAGAGTATACCCGTGATTCATATTTACATGATCATCGTCGATGCAGGAAGAGTACGTACCAATGATGATATCGAAGCCCATGAGCATCTTAGCCAGCAGAGTGAGGAATGATGCATGCACTGTGCCGAAGATCCAGATAGGTGTCGGATCTTGGTACGTGATATCAGGTCGTTTTTGTTCGGGATGTGTTGGGAGCGGTGCATTCGCGGCGGTATATTCGGCGAGCGGTGCATTCGGCGTTTGGGTCTTGGCGGGAATTCACCATAGTAATTTTGTATGAAGCGTTCCTGATAGTTCCTAATAATTTTTTCCCTCATTGCCATCTCGATTCTGAGCTCTCTGTTACTTCCTAAATAGGTATTGAGATAGATATTCTTGGTGTAGTATCTTGCTATCGTCGTTGCCATGGCCACCCCTTTATGGACTGCTCATCCTGAGTGCCCAGAGTATGTAAAAGCGCAGCTCGAAGCGCGCGTACAGTCCTTCCCCTCCTCCTTCCTGCTCGCCCCTGTCGACGGCGAGGTCTTTGAGAACCCAGATATCTGTCAAGAGCGGCTCCAGGGCTGGGCACTATCGCAGGGTTTTGCTATTGTACGCAAAAGTGGTAGCATAAAGCAAGCGCGCCCGCGGTCCGAATTTCGCTGTATTCATCACAGAGATAATACCCTAGATACTCGTTATTTAGAGCAACATGTAGAGAGAGACGAGGAGAATCGAATTACTAGCCATCGCAAGCAAGAAGCGACTAGTATCGACGCTCACAGCTGTCCTTACATGGTCTATCTTGCGTATAAACAAGTCGGCAAGCGTGGATCTGGCATATACAGCCTTGTTCTGGGGATCTCTAGCGATTCTTATAGCCATTTGATGGCTGCGAATCCGTTGAGATACAGAAAAGAGTATGTTAAAACGCTGCCTGCATTTCTGCCTGCTTTGACGCTGGGTAGGTCTCTTCGTACGGCCAATATCTTATATTCTATGGCCCTTAGAGTGCTTAAGCAGGTAGGTTTTCCTCTAGATCACAATACCTACTATAACATTTAATCTCGCGTTATTTCTGCTGAGCATACCAAATTTACTGGCCTTGTTGTTGCTCTTAAGGAGGCTGGATTCATCTTCGAATGCTGAATTAAGAAGGAGATCAATTCTTAAACTGATACTGTTGTTAACAGGCAGTTACAGCAAGTCTGGTTTGCTTATCTTAAGCAAATTTAGTATGCTTAATATTTTATAGCAGATTAGACTTTATTTGTTGATAATACCTTTTAAATAAATGCTCTGAATCTTATACTTATTATTACTACTGATATAACTAACTATAACTTAATATTTATAAGCTTATTATTATTTACTTGCTTAGAATTATAGTTCTCTCTTAACTTTATCTTTAATAGCCTTAAAAAATATGTTTTTATATCTCTAATACTTATATTACATATTATTATTAGTAACTAAGTTATTAGAATAAGAGTATTAATACTAATATCTCTTCTAAATATAATTCTCTAGTTCTGTAACTAGTATATAATTAAGAATATTAAAAAAAGGCTTACTAATAAGGGTTATTCTAAGGAGATTTAGAAGGAGATAAAGTTACTATTATAAATCTTTATTAAAAGTAATATTTATGCTAATTTAGAGACTAATAGAGCTAAAATCTACTTAAAATTAAGATTAGACAAAATCAAGTATCTATATAATTTCTAGAGCCTTAAAAAGACGCAATTTCTACGAATTTATATATATAAGTATCTGAATTTGGGCGCTTATTCGAATTAACGTTCTAAGAGTCTTTATCTAAGTACTATAGATATCCTTAATAAGTAACTAAGTATAGAGGAGGCTAGTTGTCGACTTAGTAAGATAATATAGTTGAAATTAAAGTAGCTATCTAAGAAGGAGGCTCAAAATAGAGGTAGGTTACCTTGTATACTTGATTTGAAAGCATTTGTTCTTTTAGCAGATACTATATTGTTTTTTGCTATTTCAAAGATATCCCTTAAATAAGAGGCTATAAAAGAGGAGATAAATAACGGCTCTTTACGCCTTACGCCCTTCTGCTCTAAATATAAGTTACTTATTTATTTTGGCCTCTCTTATAAGTACTATCTTACGTAATTATTTAAAGATAAAGCTCTTATCCCTTGATCCTTAATATACTCTTATTAGTAGATTAATAATAAGCCTATTTATATCGCTAAATAGATACTAATATATTATACTTTTGCTTTATTAATGTCTCCTTTACAAAATTCTGCTTCTTACTTATAGCACCCTTATATCTTTCCTAATAGAAATCAGATTATAAGGCTTAGTCTGCAAATCCTTAAGGCTAGGGAGGCTCTTACTAGCTACGCTTGTACGCATTATAATTAAGTAGCTATAAACATATAAAAAAGCCTTATTAAATTTACTAATAAGCTTAAGAAGGATGACTTTAATACTTGAATGCTTGATGCTGTTAAGAGGTCAGGATAGAATAAGCAATTCAAGAGTTATAATAAGGTTAATAAATAACTTATAATAGAAACTAAGGCAGTAGAGCGTGATACTAATGGTAGAGAGCAGGCTGCTGTTCAGGAGGCATACCAGAAGACTAATATAGCCCTTAAAGCTTTATTAATAATAGGGCTAATACCCCTTACAAGGCCTTCTGCTCCTACTTATTCTCCTCCTCTTCCTCTGTCTACAGCTCCTGTTAATGTGGAGAGCGTCCTTGATACCCCTCCTTATAGATCTGCCGCCGGCGCCGTCACTATCGCCACCACTACTACAACGGTTGATCGGTCCTTCCTAACTCCTGACGATAAAGAAAAAGAAGAAGAGAAAGAAGAAGCTCTAGATGAGGCATTTATACCCCCTCTCTTAACAGCGCTAGCAGTGATGACGCAATCAAGAGCTGGCCGCAAGAGAGCGCCCACAATAAAAGCATTAGAGGCTGAAAAGGCGCCAAAACGGGGTACAGGGCAGGGCAAGGGCAGGGGCAGGGGCAGAGCAGGCAGAGAGGCAGAGCGATAGAGCTATTTCTGCAACACCACGTTTTGTATATCCATTTCCTTATAAGGAAGTCATATCAGTATTAATAAAAATAGTGTACATTTCTGTGCGAAATCTTCATGTTATTCAAATAGTCATGATGGGCAAATCTACTAGTAATTTGTATGACGTAAACCCGCCAAGACCCAAACGCCGAATGCACCGCTCGCCGAATATACCGCCGCGAATGCACCGCTCCCAACACATCCCGGCCAAAACGTGCAGAAGACTGTTCCTAATGGAGGTGAATGCCAAGATTTCGCGCCCACTTTGGATCAGAGGCAACTAATTTTCTTCCCAGCTCTTCGAAATGTCTCTGCCCTACAGATTCAAGGCAGGTGGCTCAGGGAGCAGGGAAAGCATGGCACCCATCAGTACAATGAGTCATCATCATCGAAGTACTACCAAACAATCCCATAAACCTTTCAAGCCGCGATTCGCGAGCAAGGGCGCCTTGAAAGATATCGCAAAAGGTAGTGGCCCTTGTCCAACCTGGAGACAGTCCTGCTGATGCAAATGCAGGCAAGATCGAATCTCATAGCGAAGCCCGCGGCAAGCGACGTACTCCGCATCAGCAAGTCATGTCAAAGATTGCTAGGCGGAATCAAGCTAAACAACTGCGAATGCTCCACCACGAGAAAAGGGATAACGAATCAAGCATCTTTCAGGGAAGAGATGGATTGCCAAAACAAGTTGCAGTGGTACCACTATCCGACAAGGTAGATGTCCATAAGGCTATTGAGCAATTGAACAGCAGCGTCGACATCACGGGTCAACTACAGGGTAGTGGCACAACAGCAGTTAAGATCGAACGGTTCAGACGAAATCTACTCTACCTCCCCGCCAAATATGAACTTATCACAGCACTGGAAATATGTCAATTAGCCGACTGGGTAGTCTTTGTGCTATCACCAGAGCAACAAATTGGCGAGGACGGAGACCAATACATTCGAGCTCTAGAGGGTCAAGGTATCACCAATGTGCTATGTGTTGTGCAGGGACTCAATGACGCTATACCGCCGCCGAGGAGGTCCAAAGTCCTGACAGAAGCTAAATCGGAAATGTCTCGTTATTTTCCTAATCTTGACAAATTATGCGTACTTGACAATCCAGCAGACTGCGCAAATGTGGTAAGAAGTCTGTGTACAGCCAACAGCAGGGGGATCAGATGGAGAGACGAGAGAGGCTGGATGTTGATTGAAAACCTCAAATGGAAGGAAGCGCAGAACGATCAGCAACTTTCGACCGCGTATATTTCAGGTACAGTGCGAGGGAAACCTCTCAATCCTGATCGACTTGTTCACATCCCCGGATGGGGAGATTTCCGGGTTGGGCAGATTACGGAAATACCGCAGCGGAAAACTCAAAGAAGACAAGAAGACAAAATGGAGGAGGTTGTAAAACGACATATCCCCTCTCAAGATCAAGAGGATCTCCAGACATTGGCCCCTGAAGAGATGGACCTTAGAGAAGCAACCAATAGTGTGGCAACAGATACACACAAAGGCGTACTCCTAGACGATCACCATTATTTTTCAGACGATAACTCCCATATTCCACCTACTCCAAAGCGATTGCCAAAGGGCACTTCGTCCTACCAAGCTGCCTGGTTTTTGGATGATGTGTCAGATTCGGACTCTGATATCATTGATGGAGAGGACGATATTTCTAATGTGGCAATGGAGGTGGAAGCTTCTCCAATGGGCCCAGAAGATGGTGCTAATCTGGGGGATGCGATGGATGCAACAACCGAAGCTGGTCCTTCCGAGTATCCAGAATCAGAAATGCACATAGACCTACCTGCAAATGAGGAAGCAGAAGCTATACAAGAGTTCCGGAAGAGGCGCAAAGAAGCAGAGGAAGATCTCGAATTTCCAGACGAGATCGAATTACATCCAAATGTGCTTGCTCGCGAAAGACTTGCCAAGTATCGTGGATTGAAAAATCTTCGAACCAGTGAGTGGAACGTCGATGCGGATGCGCCATTTGAGCCCTCTGATTATCAAAGACTGCTCAAGATTGCAGATTACAAGAAGTCCAAAAATGCTGCTGTGCGTGAGGCTCTAGCTGGAGGAGTACCAGTAGGCACGAAAGTTGAGGTGGAGATCTTGAACGTACCGGCCTCGCTACAGAATTCTGGCCCACCCACCTCCATGTTCAGTCTCCTTCGGCATGAGCACAAGTCCGTGGTCGTCAACCTAAACATGACGCTCTCTTCAGCTCTTTCGAAGCCAATCAAGTCGAAGGAGGAATTGATTGTACAGATTGGTCCACGTCGATTTGTCATCAACCCAATTTTCTCCACCGCTGGCACCACCCCTAATGATGTCCACAAATTTGACAGGTTTCTCCATCCCGGTCGGACAGCAATTGCGACCTTTATTGGGCCGCTCACCTGGGGTTCTGTGCCCGTTCTGGTGTTCAAAGGGGCATCTGCTCATTCACAAGATTCAGAAACAGAGGCTCCTATATCAGTTGATGCCATGGCCACTGATGTCGAGGCTTCCACTGGCAAGCTGTCTCAACAGCTTCAGCTGGTTGGAAATGCTACCACTGTCCCACCTTCCTCTTCTCGTGTCATAGCAAAACGTGTCATCCTCACTGGTCATCCCTACAAGATTCATAAGAAGCTTGTCACGATACGTTACATGTTCTTTAACAAAGACGATGTGGCTTGGTTTTCCGCATTGCCGCTGTGGACGAAAAGAGGAAGACAAGGCTATATCAAGGAAAGCCTGGGCACACATGGATACTTCAAAGCTACATTTGATGGAAAAATCAACCCTATGGATGCAGTTGGAGTCAGTCTGTACAAGAGAGTATTCCCCAGACCAGCGAGGATGTGGAATGGGAAGCGGGGTTTTACAGTTTGACGGATGAAGGAGATGGCATTGCTGGCGCCTGAAGCGTTTGAATGATTTGACAATGGGCTCATGAAGCAATAGATACCCGCACATAGCGTGCTCTCTTTATGCAGCGCGGCTGACGCTAGGCTGGCCTGTTCGCCGTGATCACAAGGATTGAAGAATGATACATCGCCTGATCCCAAAGCCTTGAGCATCAGATCCCATCCTCATCTTGGACTTCGGTCAAGAGGCATCCTTGTTCGAGTACCTAACAACCCGTTAGTTCAGAAGATTGCATGCAGATGTGCTTGCAGATGCTTTTTCCTAGGCACCCGAGTTGTCCTCCTGAACTCTGCCAAGATCACGATCCATGGTACGGACATCCAGGGCTCTTACACAATGAACCGAGTGACCCAATAAGAAGGTGGGGACATATTGCTCTTCTTCTGTGGGACCCGCTGTCACAGAGTACCTTGGGCGCTAGGAAAGCGAGCAAGGGGCACGGCTTTGTGGTATAAGAGCTACCCTCCTTCACTTCCGCAGCCTGATCTCCTTCACATTGCCAAAGCCTCTTGAATCTCTGATTTTTGCTCCTTCAAGAGACATAGTCCATATTCATTCTATCCTTCAGTTACTCCAAGAAAAGTCTTCACTTGTGGTCTGAATCACCAGCAAGGGTACATATTGAACCAATCTGTCCTTGCTCCATCAATTTCTTCCTTCCCTTGAGGTGTGCATGCCGCAGTCATGCATCTGGCTTAAGTGAAGCACCAGGCTGTGATACTCACATCGGTCTCAACAACCTTCCAACGTACAGAAAACCCTTTCGACGGCCAAGTTGCAGACACATCTACCAGTCTATGTTTCTGTCACAGAGACACACTGCAAGCACTGGACCTGAATTTGTCTTCCTCTACGTTGTGGGCAAAGATTACAACCCTACTGGGGATTGTTGACATCAATCTCACCCCCCTTAACCCGAGCCGAGTCTTTCTGGAGGATGGTGGCGGTCTATTGACCTTCCTGAACGGGTTGATCGGAACGTGGTCCTCTGCGTTCGAACCCCTAAGGTTCGAAGTGTACCGGTTTGGAAACCTCCAGCCACTGATAAAGCGTGGAACATCAAATCTGTCTCTCCTTCTGGACGAGTCACCAACGTCGACCACATCTCTGTCAACTTGCATGGCGTACCAGCCTCCTGCTTCTTTGGCGGCGGCTATTGCAAGGTCATGAGTGCGAAGCAACAAGCTCAAGCAGCGCCACATCACGAAGCTGCTTCCATTTCTCACCTTAGGAGGCCACATCAACGTGGCTCTCCGGTCACAACGGACTACTGTGGTCATCCCAGACATCCGAACACGCCCAACTCAAGCTCGCCTGCTGGGTTCGACGCCAGCAGCGCCGAAATCCATCAGTATTTCCAGCTCAAAGACAATCATCGACCTTGAAGGGACAATACTGAGGATATTTGCGACCCTAACAGCAATTCTTCACCTGCATCGGAACCAGGCTCAGTGAAGAGTATTGTCCTTCCGCTCCCCATCTCTCCATCAGCATCCACAACAAAAGCCATTTCTCAGCAAGAAAACAAAATGCCGTCCCGCCCACAGGTCACATCGAATGCGATATCTTCACGCCACCCTGAAAATGTCTCCTCTGGACCAGAGCCCGATGGTGAAGAGCCGTCAGCTCCAGCAGCAAAACTACATTTGCAAAATCTTGAATCCAAGAAAGAAAAAAAAAAGAGAACAGAAAACCCCCCCCAAAAAACATGCATACCAACGATAAGATCTATCTCAGCTTCCCGAGACGAAGATGAGCCAGCCATGGTTCGTGCATGGAACACATAGAGATGATAAGGGCGCAGCAATGATTCGAGCACCACCTCATTGCTCCCTGCCTGCCTGCCTGCCTCCGTTTCACACCGAAGCAATCCGGTACCTACCCCACCTCGGGCCCCGATAAAGAGTAGAACATCAAATCCTCCGCTCTCCGCTCTGCCACCTTCGCGGCACTTTCAGTGTTCCCTTCCATAAAGTCCAAGAGACCCGAAAAAGAAAGGACGTTCTCGTTCTTCTTCCTCTTCTTCTTCGTCGTCGTCAACACCATGATTCCCTCCGCCTCCTCTGCCGCCGCCGCCGCCGCACAGTCGACAAGCTGGCTACGTTGTCTGCTTGCGGGATTTTTGGTATCTATCTATATATATTTCCGTGCGGCCATTCAGTCGTGAGCTCTTACTACTACTGTTGTTGTAGTTGTTGTCGTTGCTCGCGCTGAGAGGCTGTGCCCTGCCCTGCCCTGCCCTGCCCTGCTTGACCACCGTTTCCGAGGAATGGAGGTAATTATGTTCTGCTTCGCGCACGTCGGTGCGTTCTGTCCTTGACTAAGCATCCCTGTCCTAGTTGGCCTCTTCACCGCCATGCAGAGGAAGGATATTTCTCCACCGTTTGCGTTTGTTCGGTGGGGATTGCATCAAGCAGAGCAGAGAAAAGCAGAATAGAGAGGATGTTGGCGTGGAGTTGAAAGTGTAAGTTTGTGAGGGGGAAGAAAGTCCGAGAGGAAAGAATATTGTCAAGGTTGTGTTTTTTCTTCTTCTCCACAGCCGCCGGGGGGGAGGGGGCGGAATGGCAAGGTTGGTTTTTATGTACATAGAATCAAGACATCACTTACCTTTCCCCCCCAAGTCAAAAGTCGAAGTGGAGGTCGAAATTCGAAGCACACCGACCTCTATAGCCCCTTTTCACCTTTCTTCCCCATGTCCTAGCTCAACCGCAACCTCGCTTAAACCGGTGCCGGGGTGAAAAATAATCGAAAAAAAATCCCTGCTTAACACCCTTCCTCCCATGTTCGACGGAATCTCCCCCATCCGGTCCAGCAAAAAGCAAATCGGAAAACTTTGTTTGTTGCGGGCCGCAATGCCCGATGTAAACTGGGGAGGTGGGGGGAGTGGGTGGGGGATATGGGACATTGTTTGCACCGATCACTAAATCATTCCGTTCATTTGTTCGTTCCTCCCCTTCCTTTTCCCTCGATGTGGTGTTTTTTTTCCCTCTTCGCTACGCCGGGTCGATGGTCAATAGCTGTGCTGGGTGTAGGTTTTTGCAATCGTTGTCATGATGAGGAGGAGAGGGGGAGGGATGAGAGAGAGTGTGTGTGTGAGTGTGAGATTGAGGGAACAAAAGCAGCAAAGGACGTGTGTATCTGGTTCGAGTAATCTTGCTATAGATTTGTAAGGAGGAATGTCCATATGGGATAGATCTGGTCCGCTGCCTCGAATTGACGGGGTCTGACTCTTTCTTCTGTCTGCCTGCCTACCTCCCATATAGTAGTAATACGTATCTGAACATCTACTTACAACCTCCCTCTGCCTCCGTCGGCCTGCTTCCAGCTCCGGACTCCACCCCCGGTTCTGATGCCTATCGATTTCATCCATCTTTCGCCATCTTCCCTATTGTCCTTTCTTGGTCCAGAATTGGTGCATGTCTGTCCGGCTGTCTCATGCTCTCTTGGGCCTTGCGCGCAGGAATCGATGATCACTGTCCTTGTTTACGGGCTGGCGAGTTTCACATGTCCCGGATTTGCTGGCCTCGGTCTCATCTGCATCGTCGGTCTTGCTGATGGAGCATGTTTTCTACCTCTTTCCGTCTTTTGCGCCGCCCAGTCGTAGAATGAGCTCCATGAGCTTCGGAGGCTGGTTCCTTTTGGAGGCGAGCGGATGCATAGAGCTTGTCTGAGACTGATGCTGGAGTGTATCGTTAATACCTACCGTATCATGGGATGCTAGCTAAGCCACATTTTGTAGCGTCGCATGATGAAATGGGGTGATCCGGTCGCGTAGTGTGATCTTGAGATGACAGCCCTATAGCTTCAGCTCTCTCCAACCCTTTCACTACCTGACTTCTTTGCAGCTCGACTCTGTTGCACAGCTCTGTGCCCACCTTCCAATCTCTCCACCTCCTCCCTAACCCTCTCAATCTCCCTCAACACCTCTCCATACCTCCTCCCCACCTCCCTCATCACACCCTTCTTCCCTTTCCCCTCCCCTTCCCCACCATTCTCCAACTCCGATCCCAACCCAACACCCTCAAACTCGTCAACTACACCCTTTAAAAACCGCTCCCTCTCTTCAACCTCCCCCTCCACCTCCTCAAGATGTCGTTGATAGTTGCCCAACGCTGTCTGCACGTCCTTGTTATACATGCTGTTCCTATATCTCAAGTATACCATCTCGATCCTCTTCGCCAGTGCACTCGCGACGGTGCTGAGATGGGCGGAGCGGGCTTTGGTGTTGCGTGCGTGGAGACCGTGGGTTGTGAGCTCGAGGTGGGTTAGGACTGTACGGAGGAGGGTGAGGTGGGTGGTGCTGTGTTGGAGGGTTGTATTGTAGAGGGAGGGTAGGGAGGAGTGAAGGGTTGGGGGTGGTATCTGGGGTAGAAGCGGATAGAGGAGGGCAGGGAGCGAGGGTGTTGAAGACGAGACGGTGGTGTTCTTGACGGTTTTGTTGAGGGTACGTTTGCTGTTGGCCACTTGTTTGGCTGAGGCGGGCTCGACTGGTGACGAAGTAGAGGAGGCGATCTTGCAGAGGATATCATGCTGGTGCTGGAGGCTTGCAGACACTGGGATTGCAATCTCTTCCATATGATCGTGAAATGCGTCAATGTCCGGCCTGAGCAGCTCGTAATCGTCCCCGTGGAGGTCGAGGATGGGAGCTTCGTCTAAGATGATGGATATCGTGCCAACTATTTCCCTCTGCTTGGGAGCAAAGTTTAGCACCTCTTCATCCTCTTTCTCCACGCTTCTCGTAGCAATATTCCTGATGCTCGACTTCAGCAGCTCCTCTGTCGCTGCTTGCAGCAAATGAGAGCGTAGCGCTTGAGAGGTCGAGGCATTGGCTTCGCTCAATGCGCGGGTCGAGGCGTCCGGGCTGAGGAGGTTAGTGGTAAGGTGTCTATGGAGTGAGGCGAATTGAGGGTTTGATACAAGGATTGAGTTGGCTATGGGTGGAATCATGCTTCAACACTGCTTCCCTGAATTGACGCATCGGCCGCGAAGGCGAATACAGTAATAATGGCCTACTACGTATGTTCCAAAGATGTTTACTGCTATCCACAAGGGGAAATCAGGGCACAGGGGTAGGGTTAGGCGAGGCACAGTTTGCTCCAATAACAGTGCACATCTGCAGATCCGTATCAACCAGTAAATTATGCTGATGACCTGGTCATGATGCTGTGAAAAGCTATCACGTAGTTCCTTGATTGTCCTTGATTGTCCGGTGAGCTAATTCAGGAGATCCTCCCTCCCGCATGGAAGACCGCTAAGCAATCTCGCTGGTGTAATTGTTGAAATGCTGCCGCCAGGTTGCCTCAACGCTTGGATGAAGAGTGGCACACGCCCTTGTAACAAGTCGCTAAAACTGCTGCACACTGAACCGAAAGATGCAATAGCACTCATCGTTTTGGCCAGGAAACGATTCACTCTTCTTCGCTTTCCTCAGAGTCTTCGTCACTACTCTCGACAGCATTTTCGACAGATCGGTCTGGGCAGGCCTGTCAGTAAGATACTATCATACAGATCTAGCGGTACTCACTCGGGTCTGGGGAGGTCTGTCCACCATCATAAACACCCAGCTTCCCTTTTAACTCCCGAATCTGCTGTTCTTGCTCTTGTTTCGACATAGGCTTGTTCTTCTTTGGCTTGCCAGTCGCTGACATGGGAGCTGCATACGATGGCTGTTGAGGAGGTTCCGGCTCAGGTGGAGCATGCTCGCCATACTTCTTGACGAAGCTGAGAAGCTTCAGGAGAACATGATTTGGCAGTTCGTCAATGTCCAGCTCGATTTCCGTCTCATGGGTGTTCTTGAGGGATGGAACGTTCGATTGAATGATCTTGAGCGCTTCGGACATTCGCGCATCTGGCAATGAAGAGATCCCGGTAGAGATGTACTGCTTTTCGTTGTACGTGACAAAATGCTCCTTCTCCTGCTTGGATTTGGTAGAGCCCTTCTTCTTATCCTTGCCGGTCTGCTGGGGTGCGGGAAAGCTTGTCGGCTTGTCCTTCTTCTTCGGCTTTCCGCTCTTCTTCGATACAGCCGGTGCTGGTGGAGTGGTCTTCTTTTTCTTCTTCGGAGCTGACTGTAGGTTGCCGATCGTCTGGCTCATCATGGCAATCTGCGCCTTCAGCTGGGCAATCTCATCAGTCCTCTCATCGTTACTGTCGTCGTCCTCGTCCTCACTTGCTTCATCTTCCTCGTCTTCGTCGCCTGCACTCTGCGGCTCTGATGCTGGCTCATGTGAAGCAAGCCATTCATCCTTGGTAGCCCACTTGTCCTCGAAAACTTTCTCAAGTTGCTGACCAGCGGTATGCACGAATTCCCCGGGTGCATTGAAGAGGAAGCAGTTCTTGAAAATTTGGCGAATATCTTCTTCAAAATCTCGCGCTCTCTCGTACTGATTGTTCTCCAGCTTTCTTTCCACGGTATCTAGATCCATCGGCTTCTTGATGACGGAGTGATAGTTTGGTATATTGAGCGCCACGGGGTCGACGGGAAGGTAGAAAAATTGGGCGAACGAGTAATACTTAGGCTTCTTCATCTCATTGATGACTTCCCTACAGAACTTGAGTTGCCATTCGAACTTCTTCTTCCTAGGCCGACCAGGGCCAAACTCCTGATCTCGATGTTTGGGTGGATGAATGGCGCGTTTCGGACGTCCGTCTCCAACCGTCGAGTCGCGTCGGATGAGTGGTATGCCCTGCGGGTTCAATGCAAATGTTGTCCCTGATACAGGAGTAGCTGGAGATCGAGTGGTGCTGGCTATGGAAGCTTGCGATGTAGATGGCCGTCGTTGCGAAGCAGTACGTACAGGGTGTTCTTTTGTTTTTGCTGATTTTTTCTCCTCCTTGACAGGCACCACAAAATCAGCGCGTGGTAGTTGTCTCATTTGATTGTTGAATGAATGCCTCATCTTCACCCCTGAGTCAGTAACATTGTGGTTCGGTCCGTTGAAAAGTGCTGTGTTGTCGACGATCAAATTGAAGTCGGCAACAAATGCCGAGACACTTTGGTACTTTGAGCCCTTCAGCTTTCGGTCCATGGTTCCCAGATCCATCGGTTGCTTGATGATATCAAAGTATGTGGGGATTTGTAAAGCAACGGGGTTAACGGGCTCACGGAAGTATTGTGAGATGGCACTCTTTTTCAAGTTCGCGATCACCTTTTTCATATGTCCCAACCTCGCAGGTGTGACCATGTCATCAGCCGGAGGCGATTGTTCGGTAGTGCGCTGATCTGCAGGTGAATGACGTACAGGAGCTTCCGGTACCTTGAACTCTGGTTCCATCGCCGCCACTTCGGATTTCAATCTCTTCGCTGCGGGACCTTCCTCATCATCCTCCTCATCTCGGTCGCGCGAGATTTTTCCAGGAGAGGGAGGCGCGTCAAGCATTGGTCGATCTACTTGAAGGTGACCAGATGATTCTGGAGCAGCAGAAGCAGGTGCAGGCGCCAGAGGTTGATCTGCTGACAAAGTCGCATGCGCTGGTTCTGATGGTGGTGGAGGAGACGGTAAAGCAATGTCGGTAACCGCAAGGGGATTCATGGTAGCGGGTTGATGACCAGCGGCGTCAAAAGATATATCCATATCGAAAGTCAAGGCGTTTTGCTCTTCAACAGGAATCGATGCAGGTTGGGGAGAAATTGTGCGCTCAATAGGACCGTTGCCACCTGCTGCGAGTCCTTGAGCCAACTCCGGATCATTCGCGAGATCTTGCTGGTGCTTCTCGTTTTTGATTCGAAGTGCGGTCTCGGATTCTTGAGGCAGAGGTTGAGGTGAAGATCTCATGTCAGAAGTGGGCGCTTGTTCTGGTGCAGGCCGCACTTCAGACACAGGATCTATAGGGTCTTGGGGAGTGGCGGTTGTGGCCGAATTCTGAGTCCCAACTTGAGTAGTCGAAGGCGCGAAGGAGTCGAATGAAGATGAGGCTTGTAAAGAAGACGAAGAAGCTAATAGTGTTATGTCGGTGGTCGTGCTTTCCGTCTGGGGCGGGTTTGAAGGTGGTGGTGAGCTCAAGTTGCCATTCATCTGAGGAGAAGGCGCACCATTAGTCGTTGGAAACGCGTCATGTGCACGCCCATTCTGATGCGGAGTGTCGTCCATGGTAGAAGGATGAACAAGACGATCAGTTTGAGGTTCGGAGTCAGTCATGATTTCCTGGACAGGTTGAAGTGGCAATTCAGTCAAGTTGTCCAGTGCAGGTGGTGTTGCAACCGAGAATGCTGGCTTTGAGGGTAGAGGTGTTTGCACATCCTCGGCATTTGAAGCTACTGCGCCAACATTATGTGTTTCGTAACGCTCAAGTTGTTTTTCTGGCTCTGGTGTGGGTGGCCTGTCAGAAAGACCTTCGGCCTTGGCAAGCTCTTCAGGTCGCCTAGAATTTCCGGGTCAATAAACTTGGGGTGAGACAGTCATGACCGAACTCACCTCGAGAACTCCATGGTCACCTCCATTTGCGGATACTGCGTAAACGTTCTCGAATAGATCCCGACCGGCGGGCAGAAAAGGCAGCAGCTTTACTAGGTACTGGGAAATTTTAAGCTGATGGATCCCCTTTCGCTTGGAAGCCTGGCAAGACTTTTTGTATAGGGCGAATGGTCAAAGCGAATTTGCAGCTTCGGAGCAGAGGTTGAGGTTTGTTGGCCGCAGTCTTAAAAGGCAGGCTATGACTGATCACGAAATGACCAGAATATGATCACACCGAGGAAAGGTTTAGAAAATGCACGAACAACACAGCGCCACAAAGAAGAAATGGTTGATTAAAGACGTATTTAAGAGGCCGAGCCGTTGATGATGACACAGCAAAGTGGCAATATCGAAGGCGACGCGCTTATGGCGATAATGACAATAAAAGGTGCAGATAACAGCCGACGCCTGCTGATGGTGGTCATGTGACGGATGAAGTTGGTCTTGCCGGCAATTCCCGAAGGGCGCCAAGAAGCATGCAGTTCAGTAGTGTCGATTAAGACTTGTCGTGGAAAACACGCGTCATTTGACTTGTTTTATTGGACAAGACCTGATCAATGCAGTGCAATGATGGGCGCGATCCCCGGATGACGTAAGGTATGCGCGCGGATATGAGGATTAATTGTGGTTGAGTCGAAAGAAGATGCGCGGGCGAATCGGATAAAGTGCGGTTGTTGTCGCAGTGCGGGCGTTGTGATGGGACGCGGAGCGGGCACAAGAAATTGGAGAGTGAGGTGAAAAATGCAGCGGACGGGGTGTGTAAATTATTTATGTATCGCTGAGGCGATTCTCCGTTCTATCACTAGCGTGTTCAACATGCATTTCACAACCTGTCCTCTACCGAGACTGATTGGCTGACTGCAACCAATCCCCGCTGCGAGTCCCTTGCTAGCGCCTTCACTAGCTTCGTCAAATCTACTCCTCGACAGCCCGTGCCAGGGGTCAAAATTAGTGGCCAGTTTTGTGGGGTACACAGCTCTGCGAAGGGCCATGATTTCTAACCCCCACTGGTGCTAGACCCTCCAATCCAGGTGGCCAATGCGCCACACTCCAGCCAAGCTTTTGCCAGCTCTAAACCTCGAGCTCTAACGGCCGCCCCTTTTCTCCATTTCCGCAGCCTGCCTTTCTCAAGGCAGACGTGCAGTCACTCGGTCGTACGGATTCCGTAAGGATTTTTGCTGATTCGTCATCAAGTCCTTGCCAGCAGCCTTGTCGCAAGCACAGCTTTCTGTTCGTTCATATATTTTGAGGCTCAAAGCATTCGATGAAGACGCTGATCTCAACAATCCTAGGCTATGAGTCATAGATCTGAGATCGCCATGCTGCATCTGTACCTTCCCACGCTGGTATACGTAGTATGGTACCGGCACGAAGCACTTCGAGAGGTCCTGGCTGGTGTATCTGGGGTCCAGGAAGTGGACTCGACCAAGAGTTTGCTTGACTGCGCCCTGTGCCACGTCTGAGAGTGATCCCGGATCGAGTAAAAGCAGACTTCACTCGTCACACGGAGAGCCTGTGCATAGTCCATGAGCACAAAAGCATCAGATTCCTTGCTGCAAAATGTGCCTGTATCCTGCAGGTTTTGCAGGACGCTTGATTCAGACGTACACAAGGCTTACCAATTATGTGAGAGCGTGCTGGATATGACATCGAAGCTGCGAAGATGGGTTTTTCGTAGCCAAAAGGAGCCTCAAACCAATGGCTTGAGTCGAGATAAAAGTAAAGATGTAGAAAAGTTGCTTGCGAGATGGTCAAGGAGACCCTCCTATAATCGTTAATCTCTGGCATCGCCCTCCAAGCATCTCTTCCAAGCTATTCTGGAGTCTGCATTCTCAATAAGCATAGGTGGTCAACATATTGCACAGAGCATCAAGGTCTCAAAAGGCAGTGAGACGGGTGATATGGTTGATATACAGATAACGGAGTAGATATGAGAGAGATGGTAGGTAATGGCCCTTTCCGCAGGGGTTACGCTTGTGCTGGTTTGTCCACCAGCAAGTCCCGTCTCAAATTGAACGAATGATGCATGGAAAATGATCAACTGTGATAGGACGGTGGATAGACAAAGCATGACAGGGTGAACGGGGACATATACGGCGCGACGAGGCGGGAAGGAAGGGAGAATAGCAAAAGCAATAGTACGTAGTACGACGGGGAGAACGACCGATGCACTAAGTACTAAGTATTGTAACTAGTAATGCCTAAGCTCAAACTTGGCAAAGCCTTGGAGAGGTTGCAGTGTCGAAGCTTTTTTCAAACTCCCAAACTGCGCCCGTAAAGCTACATCGCAAAGATCTTCCGACATTCAATGATTTTGATTTTGACATCTTAACGCTTGCCTGTGCGAGCCAGAAACATGACAATGCGCTCGGGTGTCTCACTCTCCACCGTTCTCACTCAAGCCCTCCATACAAACGACAACAACCTTCTCGAATCATGTTTCCACAATACCGACACCCAAATCATCCGATCCACCGTGCAACGCTTAGACTCGAAATTGGCGGGGATCCTGATACAGAAGCTCGCGGAGCGCCTATCGGGTCGACCGGGACGATATGGGCATCTTCTGGTGTGGGTACAATGGATCTGCGTCGCGCATGGGGGCGCCATTGGTGGTCAACCTGATGTTATAAATAAGATCAAAACTCTGTATGGGGTACTCAATCAGCGGTCGAAAACGCTGGACTCTTTACTGCTGCTTAAGGGGAAGCTGGACATGCTAGATGCGCAATTGGGGTTGAGGAAACAGCTGTTAAGCGAAGGAGGTCCAGTCAGGAATCCGGACGAGGGCCATGTCATTTACATCGAGGGTGAAGAGGAGGGCAGCAACAGCGACGAGGAGGAGGATGTCGTCAATGGTGATACTAGGGCTGCTTTAACCGCGGAAAGTGGAGCAAGGAAGAAGAACCTCCATGAATTGATACCAGTGGACGAGGAGGGGTCCGAAGATGACGAAGACATGCCCATGACCAACGGGATCGTCGCTGAGTACGATGGCTCAGAACTCGATTCCGAGGACGAGGATGAAGAAGCTCCCATCCTGCAACGCAAAGGAGGTATAGTGGACGACGAAGCTGAAGAAAGTGACGAGGACAGCCATCCAAGTGATCGGGAAGATGACACGTCGGAAGAGGAAGACGTAAGTGAAGCTGGTGAAGAGGACTCGGAAATGGACGATTTCATCGACGATGGCCCGATCGCGGAAGATGATCAGGAGTCGGCCTCTGAAATATCAATAGATAAGACGCCGGAAAAGCCGCCAGTCAAGGTACAGAGGCAGCATCGATGATTTATAAAGTTGTTTCCTCGGGGTCTCGAACTTTGGGAGACACCGCAACTCCTTTCCTGTCTAGTATGCGTTACAAGCTCGCATACCTTTTCCATGACCACCACCATCACTGCTGATTTCTCCATCCCAACCTCCCCCTTTTTATCTATCCACACATGCCTACTCATCTGCTGCCCAACTGAGAAAAAATACAACCAAAGGTCCCCCTTCCCATCTCTCTCCGTCCTCACCAATCTCGCCTGTCTCTTCATCCAAAATACGTCGCCACGATTCCGATCTGCCTCGCGTTCTACACGCAACACGCATCACCTGTCGCGGCAGACTTCAAGATGACCAACGAGTCAGAACAGACTGCAACACCAATGGATACTGCATTGTTCTCCTCATCGACCTTCTTGTTTTGCACTAGCATACATACATATACCCATACACGCCGTCGAAGAGATCGAAGTGGAAATCATTGCCCTCTAGTCGAGTCTAAGTGAGCGCCGTAACCGCAACACATCAGGGAGAAGGAGAAAAAGGAAGCACATTAGAGTTGATCTGTGCACCATCTTTCACGACTCTACCCCCGCTTTCCTTACGGTAGGCACACATGCCAGCCTCTATGCCACATACCATGCTTTCCCAGCCGGGATCATTCAGCAAAGGTTTCAGACAAGTGACTCACACCCAGCATGGGCTTTAAGTACTAGCCAAATCATCTATGAGATGACAACATCAGATGAAACTCCTCCGAGAGCTATCCCCAGACCATTCGACAGAGAATCCGAGAGCGAGAACGGAATACAGAGAATTTATTGCATCTGCATGGAAAAGGATAGAAAAGAAAAGGAATACTGTTGAGCAAGGCGCGCTGACTGGCTGGCTGTTCTGGTGTCTTGATCGTGCATGCGTGTCATGCTCCTACATGCAAGACTTCGAGTTCAAATTCGAATTCCGGAGCGTCGACGCTATCGAGGCGACGAGTCTATCTCTTGCTTCTACGCATTGCACAAGCAGTCAATTTGGTTCGTTATGTCATGTCCGCCTCAGTGTCAGCGTCAGGGGGGTAAAAGAAAACAGCAAGTGTGAATGGAAGTGCCTTCTGCTCATCTAAGTGCCAAATCCTACCTACGCCTATGAATTCCGACCCAGCTACCCAAGTATCATGGTGAGACAGGAGACGGTTGACAATATCTTGGCTACTATCCTCTATCCATTCCCCCGTAGGAGGGTGGTTCTAAGAGCGGCCTCGTCGGAGTATCCCCCACCGCTCCAGATTCGTATGGTCTCGATCTTTGGCTAAGGGGCTTTCCCTTTCCCCATCCCTGGGGCGTGCCGCCTCTTCCGTGGGAGTATTCTTGCGCGTACCTTACAGACGGCGAGTCGGCTGCCACACGGGGAGACCCGGTCTCGGATCCATCAGACGAATCTGCAAACCGAGATCTTAGGAGCTGAAGACTGGGGTCCTGGCCTGGACATGGAGCTAGAGCTGGAGCTTGAGCTTCGGCACGGGTAGCGAAGAGACGCTTACTTGCGGACGCGGAGGTGGGACCTTCGGGGATCAAGCGGACGGGGAGGGCGGCGCGGCGACGTGAAGAACTTGCGCCCTGAGAACTGAGAGAGCCTTGCGACCCTGGGCTTGCGATGGGGGATATGAGAGTACCGAATCGAGGGGTGGATCCGCCTTGGACTCGGAGAGTCTCTTCTTCTTGTTTAACACGGGCTAGGACTTTGCCCTCGTGTCTACTGCGAGGCGAATCTGCAGAACCCGATTCCTCTGGCGGTGCAAAAGCACCTCCGGATTGGCTTGCACCCTGCAATACGAGGCCGGATTGGCTAGCGCTTCCTCCGCTACGGGAGCTCCCAGCGGACCCTTGATTCCCGCCTGAAGCTCCGCTGCCACCTGTCTTCGGATCTGGATCTCTACCTCGACCAAGTGCTATACCCAACCCAAACATTTTCGCACCAAAGGGAAACATTCCTGCAGGTGTAGGTGCACGTTCAGGCTGAGCAGCAGGAGCACTTGGACCAGCCGCAGCCCTGTCTCTTGCAGCCTGTTGCGGGGCGACATTTTGGCGCATTGTGGTATCACGCAGGCCGGGCTCGCCTCCGCCACGAGATGCACGTGGAGGTAAGGCTGGAGATCTAGCAGTTGCAGCTGGTGCAGCTCGACGTGGACCTGTGGCGGCTGGTCTGCCTTCGCGCCCGGTTCTCAAGGACAGGCTCGCCATATGTTCAGGTCTTTCTCCCACCACGGGTGCAGGTGCACGTGGGTCCCCAATTAGCCCTCCTGCGGACGCTGCTTGGCCTGATGCAGCTTGGCGACGCACGGCATCCTGTAGGCTACCTGAAGAGTGGACTGCAGCGATCGCTTGGTCAGTCCAGCTGAACAGACTGGCTGATGAAAGATTCGGCCGCATCCCAGCAGGTGCCTCGGAAGAAAAAGCTGCGTCCCTTTGAGCTGCTTCATGGAAGGCAGAATGCACACCTAGGCGGGATGCTCTAGGTGGTTCTCCGCCTGCAAATGCTGTTCCGCCCACACTAGAAAGCGTCCTGGGCGTATGAGCGTCTATCTCGTCAAGATTTTGACTATGAATACTATCCAAGGGAGGTGCAACTCCGGCAAATGGATTCGTATGGGAAGTTCTCCCCCCAGATGCAGCTGTTCCCGGCTGAGGTGGTGTAGATCGAGCTGCTGCAGATTGACCTTTTACGGGTCTATACCGACTCTCTCTAGGCGAAACTTCATCACCTCCTGCGGGAGAAGGCACTCCTCCGCCTGGATTTCTTGCGAGCGGTGTGCGGGTTGTGCTAGTGCGGAATGAAGCATGAGTACTTGGAGCTGGGGTCGGTCGGCCATCTCCGTTACGGCGGGACCTAGATGGAGGAGGCGCATCCGAACCGGCTGGATCATGATCATGATCCGGATCCGGTCCAAAAGCACACGGTACCCAATGGCCTGGTGGTCGATTGCCCCAATCTCCATTCGGACCGGGATAGCCATCCCGGTCGATTTGCTCGATAAATCGTTGCAATCTTATGGCTTTTTCAGCTCCTTGTTGGGCGAGCTCGGCCTTTTTCTGGGCCCACTCCAATCTCTCCTGGGCCTCTTCCGCTGCTCTCATGGTGGTAGGATCTGGCGAGCGTCTACCCAAGGCCGAGGATGCAGCAGTCGCTGCAACAGCCAGGTCGTGGGCTTCACGCTCGAGTCTACTGCATTCGTCCTTGAGCCTCTGGGCTTTCAGTGGGCGTTTGCGGGATTTCTCCGCGATTGTTCTTCGTAAAATGTCAATCACAGGCGCCCCGGCCCTCTGTGGCTGTGAAAGCAGATTCATTATCTCCAGTTCGTCTCGTCTGTGCGGTGGGGTGTGCGCAAACTTGGGGTTCTCATCCCCATTACGAAGGGGAGGACCCCATGGAGGCAATTCCATGCCATCTTTGACACGCCTGATTGCAATCCGTATTCGCGCCGCATACTTGCTCCTCTCTGAACTGCAGCCGCAGCACTGACTGCTACAATGGCAGGCGCTGTATATGTTCTGCCATTGATTCGCCAGACGTTCAAACTCGGTGCTCTCCTTGATTGCCCTCTGAAAAAATTGCATGTCATCTTCACTGGCCGTATTTGAGGCTACTCTATAGATGATCCAAGTCTTCCGAAGCCATCCCCATGAAGCGACTGTACCGGTCCCACTGACAAAACAGCCTAGACACACATCAGTTTCTATGACGTGAGCTTGAGCAGGGAGAGATACAGATGGCTGCGTTTAGTGCAAGAGAAGCTGCCATGTGCCTGATGCAGCGGACGAGGAGCGTCTGACAGATCTTGATTGTCAGCCATGGTGCAGGATCGGGTATTGCTCGAGACGACATACCTGTGTATTTCAGAAATCTCTAGATATACGATATGATGAAGCTTGAAGGGAATTGTGCCCTGACCACACCAGATGAAGAAAATACTATACAACAAAGGGGCCAAGCTCCGTTATAGCCGATCTACGCAAGCCGGATAAACCTGGCCGTAGTGATTCTTTATACACTTTAACGCACTCGACCCCGTAATCATGCAAAGCCTTTGCTGTTATAGTTGATACCGTGGAGCAGTAGTTTCACGACGTTGTCTGTGATCAGTTTGACACTAATACTCCGGTTTCATGGGTGATTAAAGCCCGAAAACAGCCCCACGTGATGGAAACAAGCTTCTCAGCAACGTCTTGCTTGCCCATGCTGAGTCATTCGAGACCACCATGATCACCGTATGCATGACGGTGACGAGATGCGAGCTCGACAAGCGATTGGAGCGGCAAGTGGATGAGAACGGGGTCAAAACATGATCTGCCCCTTGAAAGGTTCATGGTAAGGAGTTATCGCAGGGTTTCATGTCCATGTGCGGAGAAGAGGACTCAGGTCCTTGACCCAGGCTACTTCAAGAATGATTTCGCGTGCCACAGCCGCGACGACGCGCCTGGACCATTATTCCGCTGCTGAATGTTGATCAACAGCAGCATGGATACGATGTCCCCGACCTGGGTGCTCCTGTTTGCGGATCCTTCGGAATGACCTCTGTCCTGCAGTCACCTGACGTTCACAGACGACATTGCTCTCGTGTTGCTCGTACGAGGGGAATCAATGAGCTGGATCACACTTTTGGTGTACGAGCCACTCGTTCAATACAGCTCCGCGTCCTTGAAACAATCGTAATGGACGATCACATAACGCTTTTCGGACGCTGCAATAGATCTGCGTCCAGGAGAGCCCGCAAGCGAGCACTAGTAGTGCTTCGTGGTGGAGCTTGCAAATAGTTGGGTGTGTCTGAGGCAGATGGAGTTTCTAGGACCGGATCTAAGAAGAGCCGCGCCGGCAATGTGACACCATCTTGATCGTGCCGTGCCATCAAGAACCCTTGAAACAACTTAACAGGTCAGTTTGTGTCAGGATATCCCCACCATTGCCACAGAAGAAATACTCCAGGAAACAGGTGAAATGATGATCTAAGAGACTGATTCAATTAGCAATTGCAGGCAATCACCATCCATGCGTGACTGTGTTACCCCCGGCCAGCGTTTCGTCAAATTTCTGCCCGCGCCACTTTCAGCCATCCTTCACCAGTTTACTGCCTGCAGTCATATATCACTCAATCAGCCCATGTATGTGGCAACCTCTCAAGTGAGCTTGCCATGTGCAATGCCCTATGCGAACTTTTCTTCAAAGCAGTGCCAAATTTTCTAGGCGTAGGCATTCTCGGAAATTTCCATGTAAGGTTTGCGTGCAGCTCATACACGACTTCCTATAGGGCAGCCCTAAGACTAGGAGGATTGTAACTACTCTCTGCTTTCATTGTTGCTCGTAGCGAAGGAGAGCCAAGAATCATACCGTTCGAGATCTGACATGTAGGAAAAGCATCACTCTCATTCTGACTGGTGCTTCCACAAGCTTATGCTGCCGGTGGTCGCTGGTGTATGTGCTCAGCTCTGCCGGGCATACGAGGTAGAACACAATCCAACTAGAAGATTTGATACTTCACACTGCCCTCTGACCCTGACGACGTGACCAGCATATGCATCGAGTAGTACTGTCTAACACAAGTCACGCAGTTACCATAAAGAGTTGCAAACGTAAGCTCCACGCAAAGATGCATGATAATTGCAGTTAATTCAAGGCAGGCCCAGGGAAGTTCTCATGAAGTGAGCAACTTATTAATAGTAGTCGTACTGTATTGGCGGTTGCTACAACGTAAGTGGTATGGCGATCTAGTACTCCGTACGTAAGATCTGCTTCCCAAGAATGAACGGTCGCTTGATCAACGAATGCGCCACAAATATGCTGCATGCAAAGCCACAGGTGACGTGTTGACGGCCTTCGGAGTTCGTCGACTTTCCACATTGGCACTGCAATCTGCAGCCTGCAGTCCACAGTGCAGTGGGTGGGTGAGTGCAGAGCTCTATCGGCCAAGGGTTGATGACGAACATTCAAGCAATATGGGTGGCTGGCAGCAGCAGCCAAGGTTCATGGCCAGTTTGATTGGGCGTCATGTGCCAATAGTGGAGCAAGTCACGGGGGTCATGCTTGCCATCTCTGCCCGCTCTGCCAACTTGCCGCCCGGACTGAGCCGGCCTCTTGTGTTTCGATAGCTATATCACTTCACCTTCTGCCTTTCCCTCCTCTTTCTTCTGGCTACCCACACACCAAATATTCCAACTCCCCTCTTACCGACTGAGAAACACCAAACCTCGTTTCTGCTGCTTTCACACTCCTGTAACTACCTCCACAATGCCTTTCACAGCTTCGTAAGTCCACCTCGAGCGTTGTTACTCCACTTTGTCGCAGCGTCTTCGGATGGCTACAAGAACAACAATAAAAGTGAGAGTATCTTGACTGCGACGTTTTGCTAACTACTCCATTTCCAGCGACATCTTCAAGATTATTATTGCGATCCTCCTGCCACCTTTAGGCGTCTTCCTAGAGCGCGGATGTGGCAGCGATTTGCTAATCAACATACTTCTGACGGTCCTTGGTTACATTCCTGGCATTATTCACGCACTGTATGCTTCGCTGCAATTTGATCTCCCCAAGTTTTTGCTGACCTTGATCACAGCTACATTATCCTCAAGTATTAATGTATGCCGAACCCATTACCGTCCATTGCCCTCGCTATCCGACGAGGTTCGACATCCCCTCGGCACCCATGATATCCCATTTCATACTTGTCGCGAGCGATTTACCATGGCCAGAAAAGTGCCCACATTAATCACGGCTTGATGCAACCTCGTCCTTTTTCATACGAATAGGGAAACGCATGAGGGCAGAGTCTCGTCTTCCTAAGCAGAATTCAGGATGTGGATTGCTTGAAGTTGTTCAGTCAGTACGTTTTGTGGGCGAGAAGGCACGTGTGTACTGCTGCGAGCGTGTCACCAGAGCCCTAGTTTTGCTTGATACAAGTGGTGGTGGATAGCAACAAATGCCACTCGACAATTCAAGACTTTCATACTTGATGAATTGTATACTTTTTCGCCATAATTGCTCCATGTATGTTGGATTGTAGGCTCTTTACGTACCCGGTCATATATTAGAATAGGTGGTAGCCGCCATTATTTGTGATATGATGTGCGATTGCAGGCCGAGAATTCAGAATCACCAGTTTTCTTTTTACACAGATCAAGCACCACTAGTTAATGCACCTACTATGCTGAAGCCCCCAAAGCATTGTCTCGATTAAGGGGAGCTGCCTGAAAACTCCTATTTTCACATACCCCCAAGACACAGCCTCCGCAGAGAGGGTCTTGGAGCAGTTTCTTACACAAAGCCACCGCTACAAGTGAACCCAGTCTAGCGCTTACTAGATGCAGCTTTACTGCGCCCCAGAGTACTGCGCCCACGGACACTCTGGATTACAGAGGGGATGGCCTGTTGACCATGCATTATTGAGCAAGACAGAAGAGCCAGAGCAGAGCCCGAGGGGCCCTATCGCATAAGGCTGCGTCACGTGGTCACTGCTAGTACTAGGACAAACCACATCTTGTCTTACACATCGGGCCTAGCTGGTCGCCTGCTTACCGCCCGCCCTAAGCAGCGACCACTGACCAGGCGCGTACCGCAGTGAATATCAACACCTCAAACAAATCCACTCCAAGCCATCAGCGCTCAACAAGTTCCTGATAGGTTTCACGATGGCGCGTAACCCTCACGTCAGCATTGGCTGCCATGCTTCTGTCCTGCTACATCATCGCAGACGAGATATCGACAAAATCTACACCAAGGCCTCTGTTATGCGCGCTTCTCAACTATCACCAAGTGCCCTACACCGTGTCTTTTGCCATGGTGCCTTTCTTCCTATCTTTCTCCTATTGTACGACTAAACTCATGTTGTCATGATGGTTCTCGCCTGGGAATGATTTTCCACTGGTATGTTCTACTCCCAAAGTCAAGACAAAGGGAAGCCCAATAGCCCCTGCAATACAAGAGTCATCCGCAACCGGATCATCTTGCTAGATTGGCGTGTTCAACAAAGAAGCTTCTATGACGGAACTGATTTGCTTGCAGAATACTTACAGCATGCTACAACCTCGACGATTGCTCTCCACGTCCTCATTGTCTCGTCGTGCGGCTGAGCTTGGGTCTAATACGTCGTCACCTGTTATACCCCAGCCTTTGGATGTCCTTCTCCCTGCTTGCTCCAAACCCTGCCTCCGTGCTTTCATAGCAGACAGTTATCCTTCGTCCAGCTCCAAGAGTATTGATACTCTATGTACGACTAATACTACTACCGGATTCACCCTTGGCGAGGCTGCTCTTATTTGCGAAAATTCATATTGTGCGGTGGAGGGTCAAGTTGACAAGGGGATCTTTTCAATCTGTGCAAACGTTCCTCGAGCTATTAGGCCTTCGCACAACGCTATTACAGTGGTTCCGATGGCGACGTCTAATCTCACACCCGGTTCGAATGCATTCTCCTCAGCACTTCCTCCCGCAATTGGCCCCCCCACAACGACCAGCGTGGACACCACCCAAATCGCAACTGCTACAGGGGCGCCTTCAACGACTCCAGCGCCTTTTTCTCCACTACCACCCTTCCCAACATCCTCTTCGATTTCGTCTTTCCGTGAAACTGCTTCTGCAAGCCCATCAACATCAACAGCTTCTGTATCGTCTTCAACGACCACACAACCGGCCGAATCCGATGCGGCCAGAACCTCAGGCTTATCTCCAACCGTGGCTCCTACCACTTCCTCAGAGCAAGGCAGTCTAAATACTGGCCAAATTGTTGGTATATGCTTAGCAGCTGTGGCGATTTTTGGGTTTGTTCTCGGAGCTTTGTTGTTCTTATACCGCAGGCGAAGAGAAATCAATCGGAAGCGTCGAGGATCAAGATGGTCCGATAGTATCGAAAAGCAGCCACCGTCCCCGTTCTCACCGGCCGATCATCATATCGAGGCCGGTGTTTCAAACCCTCGAGCAGCCACCCCTGACCACAGCCAACGATTTTATGCACCTCCCACAAAGACTCAGGAGAAGCGGAGGAGTTTCTGGCGAAGAAGTATCAAGCCAGAAGATATTGGTGTCGCTGTAAGCCCAGAAGTCGTGCAGGCTGGTTCTCCAACAAGTATTTCGTCGCAGCGGACGACTTCACAGCTGTTGCCAGAATTTCCACATTACTCCCTATGGCCAGCGCCTCTAAAAAAAAGTCAGCAAAATGCAGCCACCTTTGAACAACGGCGACAACCCGAGCGGCCCACAGTCACATTTCCCAGCACCTTTGTGGAACGTAAAAAGGCTAATAAACCACCGCGCATTGTTTCTTCCCGGACAGGAAATGGGTTACCTACAGATCCTAGAGCACAGATGTATAGGCTAGGACAAGCGAAGAGTGTGAATGACAAGATTCCTCTTACGCCAGTCTACGACAACGGAAACGTTTCCATGGCTTCGGGAGCTATCTTGCCTCCAAGGCAGAATAATTTCCTGCAACCAGGACATCCTTCTCAAGCGCAGCGAAAATATGATCCATATCTGCAAGACCAAAAGGTCGCACCCAACCCAATACCTGCTCAGACAATTAAATTGCTGCCACCATCGCCGCCAGGGGCACATTCTGAGGCATCAAGCTCACGTCGAGCTCCTCCTTTACGACGAGGTTCTTCTGCGTCAGACGCAACCAACATCGAGGACGACGAAGATACTACCCCAGAACAAGAAACAGATAAACAGTTGAGACCTACACCATTGAGTCCAGTTCTTGAATCTCCTCGCCACTATTCTCTTTCGCCAATCGAGCGACTTACCAGCCCACTAAATGATCTTGCCTATCCTTCGCCACCTCGCCCAGCTGCCATCTCCAAACAAGCTGAAAAGCAACCTCGACCCCGAGTGGTAGAGTTTGCCGACCCATTAGGTCGAACGAGCTCCCCATCGCGAACCCCTACAGAAGCAGCATCAAGAAGAGACCACCTCATCCTGGATGAGCGAAGTCTGTTGTCCACTGCATCTTCATCCGCATCGTCGCCCTTGCGGAAGAGAGACGAGTCTCCCTCAACGTTACTGGCCAAGCGAAAGGGTGACAGAGCGGCAGATCAGATGCTGCAACATGGTCTGAGGTTGAGCTCTTCGGCTGCAAATGCGCTCCCGAGGAGTAGATACCAGGTTAATAACCAAAATGAGACAAGAGCCAGAAAGGGATCCGATACGGAGAACGACAACGGTATGAATACCGTTTTGAAGACGCCTCCCCCAAAGGGTGGGCAAGGTCTGAAAAGCCCGCCGTTCTGGACACCGAAATTAACGCCTACAAGGAGAGGGGAGGATCTGTTTCTGCGGGTTGAATAAATGAGTGATGAAGCTCGACTTGTAGATGGAGTGACACATCGGCCATTTGGGCCTTTCCTTCCTCAAGCCCCCTTTCTCCGTGCTGAACGTATTGCGTCAGGCCGAAATGGAGCGGACACTCTGAACTTTTGTTCTACACGCGTTCACTAGCTTAGCATATTGATACCCCCATTGCATTTTCGGCAGATATATAAACTATTTGCCAATCACCGCTTTTGGTGCCCACGTGCGCCAGACCCTCGTGTCTTCTGCTCGCATAACTAAGTGACCAAACCGAACGCTAGGATAAGGCCGTAGGAAGAGAGATATATGATGAGGCTCTTATTCAATTTGTGGATCAACTAAGTTATGATAACTTGTAAGCCAGCTAGTTACTCTATGCGGTTAGATTGGCGCCGAGGGAATGAAAATAATCGAATATCAAGCCCCACTGTCCCTCCTACCGAACTTGCCATTTGGTTCCAGTATTCACGAGGGAGAAAGGTCCGAGATCGACGACTTTGATGTTGAAAGCCACTGGCTGTTTTCGGCCTGGTAGTCTGGATCGTCGTTGTGACGGAGTTGTGTAAATTGGAGATGCCTACCTGCAATGGATGGGAGCAATTTGATTGATTCTAGTATGGATGAAGGAGAGAAGCTGGGGAGCAGCAAGAGCTAATCTAAGAAGCAGCAGCGCCAAGGCAGAGCTAACGGAACGTGCACGTGACACTGCCGGTGCTTGAAAGGAAATCAAGAACTTTTGGTGTGGAAAGTTCCCAGCTTCGTCCTCGGACTGCGAGCGACTCGTGGTGGAAGGAGTTGCTCTATCGATAGCATGAGATGCGGAATTTCACTCCACTAGGTTAGGGAGCTTGGACATGATTTGAGGAGAAATGGATGTCTGGGGTGATTGTGAATGAGTTCAGAGGACTTGGCCTGTCAGCGGCTAAATCGTGTTGCTCCAGATGGTCTTCGCCAGTATCTCCGAGATCCTGTGCCCAGCTGCGTAGTGATATTGCCTGCATCCGTATTGGCTCAACCGCTTCAATACCGATACCATCCTCTTCTGCGACACCACGTTGGACGACGGTCTGTTGATGGGCATCATGAAGAAAAGCACCGTCCTCAGCAATGCGTTCTCTTGCTATGCACTCCTCTTCGCCATTGTCTGGATGATCTGTGATGCCCCTGTTTGGCCATTCCAAAATATCCCTTGGGGGAGTGAATGTACCCTGATCTCTGTATCTCGTTTCGCTTGGAACTCGTTCACGTATAGGCCGGTAATGTTTACAGCTTTGCCGATGAACTTGATTGCCTTCGGTTATGATGCGTGTCCAAGGAATCAGGCAGATGTAGCAGAACGCGTGCTTGCATCGAGAGCCTGTGCATATCAATGGGCATCATCTGCAGGAAGGACTAAGTATACTTACAGGTCATGTGGTCACATCCATCGGCCTTTTCGATAGGGGTTCCACATCCATTTCCAGGACATCTGACAGAAATCCGAGTTACCTCTGCCATGGATTGCTGGTCCTGTTCTTGCTTCAAGCGGACTTCTTCTTCGGCCTTTGTTCTCTGATCTTGAAAGTCTTTGCATGAAATGCCTCCGTGGTAGTCTACGTCACAGTTGAGGCACGTCATGCGTCCACATGCATCACAGGTCGCATAGGATTCGCTTTCTGGATCGCAAAGGAAACCATTCTGGCAATCAGGTGCGGCGCACCAGCGGAAATTGAGGCCTTCATGCATTGCCTGCTGGACGGAAATGCGCCCGTATCGATCGAAAAACTCCGGATTGCTCCAGGCTTGGATGTCAGCAGGACTCAATGTTGCATGACACATAGGACAGGGTATTGTGTTCACCGCGTTCATTTCAAGCTGATTCTCGACATGTTGCTGCAAACAAGCGAGGCAAATCGTGCTTCGATGGGCACAACCTGATGTTATACGGCGCCAGGGCGTGTTCACGGTACGAAGCAACTCCGTACTACAGACCACACAATTCTGGACTGGCAGTCCTGGCCAATAGTCCGTGAGATTCGTGATTCGTGGAGCGTCCATATCGTCGCGTTTTCGCTTCAACGAGTTTTGAGAATTTCCTGTGCCACTGCTGCCCCCATTCTCGGATTCGCTTTCGACACCTCCTCGGGGCTTTGCACCTATGAGTGGCTGCGTGGTTGCACCGTCATCATCACGTATGAATCTCAAAAGCCTTATTGCAGGAATGGCAGATTCATCAACCCCTCGATCTTGCACGACCCTGTGGCACATAAGGTCAAAGAGCGTAGTCTTCCTCTTTTTTCGCCAATGTTCGACCTGGAAATAGTCAAGTATTTCTCTGATTTCCTCTCGGTCCCATGTCGAACACTTTCGTCCGAAGAGGCGAGGTATGCTGCTTGCGCTGGTTGCTGGGGTCTGCAAGTCTCCCTGAGACTTACTCGACCCAACTGAGACCGACTCAATTTTCATCTTTGGAGATGTGGATTTACGTTTCTTTTGCTTCACCGGTGCAGGAAGTTTGAAGCACTCCAAAATTTGTTTACAGGCTCCACGGTGCTGTCGGCAAGGGCGGTTGAGGGCCTCTCCAGTGATCGAGAACGAACTTCAGCTTACTGGCCTTCGAACAGCAGAAGTAAGGCTGATCAATTAGCCAGGTGGGCGCCTTACTTGTGAGGAAAAGGGCAATGTTTCAGATCAGTGTTGGCTGACGCATCAGAAGAGTAGGAGAAGAAAGTTGAGAATGAGCAAGATATAGAGAAGACTTTGGACGCTTCACGAGAAGATGTGGACAGATGTTCGGCCGACCTGCCAGTCATCTAGGAACCTCAGCATGGAACATCTCGTTCGATGAAGTCGGAGTGGAAGGTTATCAGAGGCAGTGATCGAGATGATCAAAAGACGTGTCATAAAAAATAGTCGAGAGGCAACCACGAGAAGCTGGGTCGAGTAAAGCGATATTGATGGGACCTCTGATAAATAAAGAATAGCGGAATCAACGTTGCACGAAGCGAGGTCCAATGTGTCTTTCCTTCTATTGCACCAACTGGGCTCCAGAACATCCAAAGGATCGAGCCGAGAAAATGATATTGCTAAAGTATGCCTTCTAAGCATCTTGCTTGCTGTTCCCAAGGGATGTCTCAGCGTCAGAGCCGTCCCGACCACCAATCAGCACGCCCATTCTCTACAGGGCTGACCGTTCATTTAAGCCACTACTATACTTCAAGGGAAGCAGCAGCCATCCATTTCTCCGTGCAGTTGGTCCGCTCTGGCTGTGCCAGTCAATGGCTACCCTGCTGGAGAACTTTGTCACCAAGGTCCTCCGGCCACGCCAAAGTGTGCCAATCCTGATACACATGAGGGTTTGTTTCGTCCCTACTGCCGACTAGTCTCTGTGCCGGCTTGAGGACCCTATCAGCTTGTATTTCCCCTACTTTGTGGCCAAATCATTCATTTTTATCTTTCGATTCGAGCTTTGATCTGACCTCATAGCCGATTTCGAACGATCGATTCACTGGCGGACGGAATATACAGAAATCAAACGCAGCAACCACTACTTGTGAGCATGGACTATAAAATCTTGGAAGATGGAAAGTCTGTACTCTTGCCCGAACCACGACTCACAGACCTTCCATCCGAGATCCTGCAATCAATCTTCTGGTTCTCGTTAGAGCTGAACCTGTGCCATGTATCTAAGGATATGAGAAGGAAACTCCCATCATATACTCGAACTACGCTATTCTTGACCTTGGTTGCATTTGGGCCAAGACGCCTGCATGATCGGATTCTTAGATCGCAGGGGACTGACTGTTCCGATGTGATCGGGCAGCTTGATCTTCGTTTGCCCCTTTCACCTGATGCGCAATTGGATTTGCAGAAACGATTTTTCAATAGTGGTTGGCTCAATCTCAACGTTTGCATGGCTGCCCTGCAGCAGTCAAGGGAACATCATATCCAGGCCAGGTGGGTGGAAAAAGGGAATTCAGTTGTGCCTGCGAGTCTACAGGCATTTGAAGAACATCACAGGCATTCGAACGGTCGCCTCACGATTCATGGAACGGCCAGTAAAGGACATAACAAACGGTTGATAATAGGGGAACTCCATGTTGCAATCGACAGTCACATCTCCCAGCCACACGAGGACAACATCTGCCGATGGAGCTATGAGTGCTTCAATCTACTGGATGTCCTCTACATTCCAGACCGGTTACTGAGCGGTCCATTACCTTGGCCGCAAGTACCCGGTGGCTATCCTATGTGCCGGCTCTACGACTACAGCATACTACATTCCAAACCAAGTTTGCTCAACCTTCTTTGGGCCGCTCAGCACGAGTGGGCATGCAGACCTTTGACAGCTCAGCCGAGGCATGTGGAAGCGCAGCCGAGTCTGGTGGATTCTGCTGTTATGGGTGCTATCACGGAGGGCTACATCCTAGCCTTAAAGATGCTTCTAGACACAAGATATGCCAAAAATGGGGCATTATATTCGATTACCCTGACGAGGCAAGATTTCATCCTTGCAGCTCAACGCCGGAATACCCTTATTATTTTCGTTATGTTGATGACCGGTAGGGGCATGATCCCAATCGACCACAAGGACGTGGCTCAATGGATAAGTAAAGTTCATGAGGATGCGAATCCGCTGGGGGCTCATGGCTGTCCGTGTCTGCTGGTCAAGTATATCAAGTACTTAAAGGAAAAGAAGGCCGTGCAAGGGACGACGGAACGATTTTTTGCGTGGAAGCATGATCGCGAGAATTGGAGTCCAAGTCACGACCCACGAGTTGCCAGCGAACTCGCAAAAGATACAGCGGAGGAAGCTGTGGAAGGCGACTCGGTGGCAAAAAATTCTGCAAATAACGATGGAGTGGACCTGGCACGCTTAGGTGGTCAACTCAGAGAGGTTTGCGGACTCTGGAGGCCGTAGTGCAAAATTAAATAATCTTTGCATGTTTTAATCAATACCATGCCCAAGAAGAAGTGTGCAGAGCTACTTAGCAGGAGAAGACCCTCTGAAAACTATGCCCAAATTACCATCAATGTGTGCTTACATAGTAGTTTCAATCTAACCGTAATATTATCTAACTTAGTTTACATGAAATTATGCAGGTAGACATCTGAAATCTAATTAAAAATTATGCTATTTCCAACGTCATTTTAGGGAAATGACGCTCAAATTATGACTAAATTATGGTCATTTAAGCCTCCTGACGATCCTTAGGATAATAAAACGTCTGCTAAATCACTAAGGACTAATACCGCGTTATTTTCAGAGCCCTTCTCCCGGTAAGTACTGGATGTTCTACGGATGGGTAATCTCCAGGCGCGAAGAGTGTTCGCAGGCCACAATATAATAGTAAGCGATTGCATCATAAAAGTTGTTAGTACAGTCAGAGCATGATTCCTATCTGCTTGGTGACCTTGGTGGGCGTTCATTTCTTCCTTGCGCTGTATTAAATTCCACTCCACAACACTTCCACCAGTTCCAGGCGACAGTTCTCCAGCAATTTGCTACATTCGACTTTAGGTGGCGGCTTCTCTCCTCCACTTTACTTTGACCTCAACTAAGCATCACCCTCATTTCCGAGCCGTCTCTCCGACAATGGCCAGCACAACCCCTCCACATCCTTGCGTTCCATCACTGTTGGATATGCCGCCGGAGATCTTGCAAGACATCTTCTGGCGTTCTCTTGAGCTGAGCCTCTGTCACGTGTCCAGACGAATGTACCAGACGCTGCCAAGTTACCCGCGGCTTGCTCGATTTCTTCCCGTGTTGGCCTTTGGCTCAGACCTCGTACTCGATAAGATCATCCATAACGATGGGGATGACTGTTCTGATGTTGTCAAGAAGCTGTCAATAGCAACGCCACTTAGTGACAAAGATCGGGTGACGCTGCAGCTGACTATCATGGACAGTGGGTGGTTCGACTTCTCCAACTTTGTCGAGATCTCACATACCCTCGAGGAGTACTTGATACAACAGTTCTGGGTTGAGAAGGGTATTAAGACGGAGCCTGATGATGTGGAAGAGTACGAGAAGCGCAATGCTAATCTGAGTGATGCTTTGCGCGTCCGTGGTCGCACTCAGGATGGCCAACTATGTCAACTATCTGTACAATCTGTGGAGGTCAGTGTGCTCTACTATGACGAAAGCGAGATGATGGGGACAGAACTACTTTTTGAAGAGGACTACCGAATGCTACACATACGATGCATTCCAAACAGGATATTGAAAGCACCTCTTGCTCCTGCGGACAACGATCTCCCCCTTTGGCCCTATATCCTTGATGACCGCCGCCTCTTTCATACTAATATAATTGGACCAGTAGGCAACTTTTGGCGCCTCATCTGGGGAATGGGTAGATTTAGGGCGGATGATCCGGATTATATGAAGCGTGTTGTGGTCTCGCCTCAGGCAGTGGAGCTTGCGATCTCCGAGGCAGTCTCGATATCAAATCACTATGTCCTCGGAGGAATCCTCCGCCTGCCCCTCACTGCAGACGGAGAGGGCACACTACAACCGGTAACAGCCGAACATTTCATTGCTGCAGCCCGTCGTTCTGACCGCAATGCGATACGTGTGATGTGGAAGCAAGGCTACAGTGTATTCCCGTTCAACAATGGTGAGGTGATCGACTGGATGCACGATCCTGACATCGAATGCGCCGATAGTACCTGCCGCACCATGGATTTTGTCGACCAGCTGCGGCGGTTCAAGCGGGAATTGGACGAGCAAAGGGAGCCCAACCATTGGTTTCGCTGGCCGTATCTGGGCGTGTGCAGCTGCTGTGAAGAGCATCGAAGGTTGCGTCGTGGGTATGCTATCAATGACAAAGTCGCCGCTCATATCGTGAGAAGTCGATGAATACATACTCAACCTGTACGGAGTCCATCAGAAGCTATTGACGCTCGATTAGCGTACTCTAGATGATTGCCCATTGCCAAGAGTGGTTGCGAATCATCCTCCGCGGCCCAAAATCTGCTGTTACTGCTCAACGGTTCACATCAGATCCTGCATTACACAGTAGTTGCAACATTCCGGAATCCATATCATTCAATCGTTATATTGATCCGAGTGTTTTTGCCAGACAGTCTAATCGCTCATTGGTTGGATTTTTCTACGCGTAACCCCTGGCGTTGTTGCCTGCTGCCAGACGCTATTTCTACGCAAAATCCCTGAGTTTCGCCTGCTTTTTGATTTCTGCCGCAATTTGTACTTTATTTCTGCGACGCGCCTGCGCCTTCTTGAGAGAGAACAGAGCCATTTTCCTTCTACCTGTTCGACACCTGCTTTTGATTCGTCAATCTCTCTTGCAATTTCGCTTCTTACGTAGTACTACGTAATTTTGCCGTATCGTAAATACGGAGGACAGCCGACTTGTACGTGTATCTAGGCACGCTGCCCCCTTGATCAGATGGAGACAACTCGCTTTCCACGCACCTCCTGCAGATTGTCACACATTATTATGTTACTTACGACCCAAACCCAAAACTACCTTAGCAGGATGGTAGGTCGTTGCCTCGAAGAAGGTTGAACGGGTCGCATGCACTGCTGGTGGGTTCATGAGATCTTTTCTTTTTTTTTTTCTCAAGGGATGATGGAAGGATAAGGGTGAATAAAGGTCACGCGCGTCGGGATGGAGTCGGGCACTTCTCACTTCTCGTTTTGCAGCAGCTACGTACTAATGATGCGATCCTCGGGTGCTTCCGCTCAAATATCGGATTCATGTTAACTAGAAATCGACAATACTCATGCACAGCTGGAAAAACTTTGGGGTCTGAAACAGATATCTGCCTGTGCTACCCTGCGTACTAACCAGTTGGTTACGTAGTTACTGCTGGAAGGCAGCCGTCGTGTTAGAGGAAGATGTGAAAGATGTGAAAGATGTAATTCAAGCATTTCCTCCTCACGGTCGAAAAGTACATGCCTCGATCGACTTCACGAGGCTCGGGACTGTTTTCCTACCCACCTATCCACCTCTCTCCCTACCTCCCTCAGCTCAAGGGCTACTCTACTCCGCTCCGCTCCTACCTCTCTTACCTCTCTTCCCTCTCTTCCAGGTCGGAGCCACACGCCTTCTGATCCTTCTCCGGCTGCTGGCGCGATCAGCTTGGCCGGCGGGCGGTGGCGGTGGCAGTCGTGATAATGACGCTGATGAGATCGATGTCGTCGAGCCGGAATGCTGGCCGGCTTGTAGGTGGCGGAGGTGCCGTTGTTGTCGAGTGCACGGTTCGAGGTCTGCTGCTCGCTGCCTTCGTTGACGCTGACGCGCGCGTCGGCGGCCATTGCTGCTGAAAATCGGAGAGGATTGGGATTGGGATTGGGGGGGAGGGAGAGTTGACGGCTACTCTGTGTGTGTGTGTGTGTGTGTTTGGGTGGAGACAGCTCTGAGCAGTCGAGCCGTGAGGTTGGATGGAAAGCGGGTTGGGGATGCTGAAATGCTAGACAGCAATGCTGTATGATGAGCAGTTATGATGAGGAACAAGTGGGCCTTGTTTTCAAAGGCGGATTGCATCATGAGTGGTCTGTATGATGCGTTTTCGTGTCTTCGTATCTCTTGTCTCCTGTGTCTGGGGGCAGAGCCAACAACCACGAAGCATCACTTATCATACTTATCTCATTACTGCGCATTACTACTCTTCTGATCACCAACTCTACCAGTGCCAGAGGTTGGGTTGTGCGGCAGTGGCAGCGGCAGCAGCAGCAGCCCAGAGGACTCACAAGCACACAGGACACAGGACGCCGGCTGGGTATTGCTGTAGAATCGGCTTGTGACGAATCAATTACTTTGATTCATGGGTAGGAGCTTGAGCACAATTCCTCCCCCTTCAATCCTCAGGACTGCGTCTCAGCTGGGTATCTCGCGCATATCCACTCAAGTCTGGAGCCGTAGTGCCAGAAACCTAACCAGTCGCTCGATTCGGCCATCTGGACCTAGGTCGAACTCCAATCGACCAATGCATCCTCTCCAGCCTTCTCCTTGATGAGACGCTGACTCAACTCCCAGAGCGCGGCGCCCAACGCTGGATCGGAAGCCTGGCTGGATTCCTTTCCTGGCTGACCCGGATCGGTGAAATAGTAGCCATTCCAGCCCTTGTCCTCGACTTCGGGACTGGTTGCTGCGTACAGCGCGCTGTATGAGCCTTGTTCCACGTCCCGTCCACCGGCCAACATTATCGTTGTAACCAGCTTGCCGAACAGTCCCGGATAGGCATCCTTCCACTGTTGCTGCATCGCCGTGTTGACCTAGGGAAAAGAAGATCACCATCAGTTGACATGAACACAATCGAGGGAAACTAAATTTTCCCAATGGACACCTAAAACTTACCGCGCCAGGATGAACAGAAAGTGCATAGATGTTGTCGCCGTTGGGCTTGATAACCCTGTCCCGAAGCCCATACTTGACCCCCAGAATGACTGCCAGCTTCGTTCTGCCGTACAGCTCCAGGCTCCCCAGATCCGGGTTGTTGATCTCGTTGAGCGAGCCGAAATGGACCACCGACGGCGCGGCGCGATGCTGCTCAGACGACTCGAAAACGATGCGCGGGGCGGGCGTGTCGGGCATCTTGGACGTCGTGCGCAGGAGCGGGTAGAGCAGGTTGCAGACGTAGAATTGGCCGAGCCAGTTGACTTGGAAGTGGCGGTCGAGACCGTCGGCGGTTTCGCCGTATTGGTTTACGTTGATGCCGGCGGACAGGATAAGCTGTGTGGGGCGGCTTCAGTTACTAGGGATGAAGTCAATTGTGAGGACTATAGCAATACATACGAGATCAAGGCGCTCTTCCCGCTCCCGGACGCCGGTGAAGACCTCCTTGACCTGCTTGAGGTTGCCCATGTCGCACGGCAGCCATTCGATCTTGGCCTCCTCACCGGCTTCTTGCTTGATCTTGTCAATGGCTTCCTTCCCTTGGTCTTCCTTGCGGTTGACCATGATCACGCGGGCCCCATGGAGCACAAAGGCACGGGAGATTTCGTAGCTGAGACCGAACGTGATGATTAGAATTCAGCAGATAAAAGTAATGAGCAGAAGAGGGGTGTATCGAGTGTGATCAAGTTCGAAGCTTACCCTATACCAAATGCACCGCCGACCACCAACGCCACCCTGCCACTGAGATTTTGGATCTCCTTCTTGGGCCCGATCACTGGATGAAGTATGGATTGCATCTTTTCTGAAGTTGGGAGGATTTGGGGGGTATGCTTGAAGGAGGTTGTATTATGGAGTACCGAGGGAGAAATTTCAAATGGAGAGATTTTCTTTCTATTCCTTTTGAGTTGGCAATGAAAGAGTTATCATCACGGCCACGCTTACAGCAGACGTGGCAGCATAACAATCGATATAATCGATATAATACGTGGTAGTGACCTCAGTCAGGCTCGGCAGCATCGTGGGACAAGCTGGGATTCACTCCATAAAGTAGTGAATTGCAGACCCTGCAGCGGCATGTGACACTATCCAACGCCATTGGTCAGGAGGACTGAACCTCTAGGGAAGGGGGCTGTCCGGTTCAGTTCGGAGATGGAACGAGTCGTGGTGCGTGGTGCGGCGGGTTGTGGGAGCGGAGCATCACGCCGTGCAGTGGACGGCTTAAGTGAATATTTACTGTACTTAGCTTCCGCCCAACCTCTTGTTGCATCCATCATCCCCCTTCCGCCCTGGTTTTGACATCTGCCATTGAACTTGAAGTTACTGATCCATCTTGGCCTTTCCATGATAGTATCTTGATCTATCTGTCTCAGACGGCGGGAATTCCAGTCTGGTCCAGATTGGTCTAGTCTGATCCGGATTGATGATGGGCGCGGTGAGTGGAAAAGAGATGTGTAAATAAAGAGAATGTCTACAAATCCGCCCATCTGTCTACTTGCCGTAATGGGTCACCACTCCCGGACTTGTGTGTTGCTATCTATCTCCCTTGAAGATTGGAGGCTTTACGCAGTTCCCATGTGAATGCGACACTTGGCTATGACAAGATGCAACCGTAGTTGGTTAGAGACAAGAGAGAGAGCGTATGTGTTCCGGTTCCGGTTCGGTTCCGCTAGAGTATCGTGGTAGTACTCGAGTAGTGATACCTTCCTTCCGTTTGCTCCCAGAGAACCGAATCGATGTGCTCAATGTGCGCTGCAATGGTTCGGTCGCATGCCCCTTAACCGATGCTCAAGCCAAACCCACAGCCCCCCCCTAACAGGTGTTGAATATGAATCAATGCGAGTCTGAGTATCAAGCCCTCATGCTCTCACGACCGGCTGGCTATACGTGGCAGCTCAGCTGGGTAAGAAAGGATTCCAGTTCCACGAGAAGGAAAGGTGTGGTTGCGCTCCCTTGAAAGAATTCCAAACTGGAAACCAAAAACATGGTTGATGTATCTGCAGCAAGTCTGTCGTAATTCCATGCTTCGTACCTCCAAGTCGTTGATCTGACCCTAAATGTAAACAATCAGCCGGAAAAGTCATCTCAACCATTTACCCTCCCTTCTCTTCACTGCCTCTTGACCCTCCAACCTCGCCACCCAGCCCATGACCCTTCCGCTCATATTCAAGTCAGCCCCTCCGTTTACCACAAGGCACCAAACTATCATCCGGCAATCCGCTCCTCTTCGTGCCCGGCAAACTCCCCGTCCCAATCCCGTTGTCATCACTAGCGACCCTGCGGTGCGGGTATGATTCCTCTAGACCTTCGAAGCAGTTGCCGCTTACGCTGATCTAAGATGTTTGCGTCAATAAGTCTGTCTGTCATATAGGGGAAGAAAACACAAAATTAAATTAAGTGGATGGGGTAGACTCCAGTGAGGCTTTTAGTGGGATGGAGGACCAGTGCTAGTGAGATCTGACATACTTTTCCACTCCCGGGGTCTTGGAAATAGGGGTGTTGGAGGGCTTGTTCGGCGGTTAGACGGCGGGTGGGGTCGTAGGTTAGGAGTTTGGAGAGGAGGTCGTAGCCTAAGAGGCCGGGGGTGTCAGGGTTGGACTCAGTGCCTGAAGATGTGTTGGAGGATGGAGGGTAGTTGGCGGAGCGGAGGACGTTATTGTACCATGTGTCTAGACCTGTGCCGGTTCCACGGCCGTTGTTGTTATGGCTATGGCTATGGCTATGATTATGGTTATGGTTATGATTATGCGAAGAGGAGCTGTTGTAGCCAGACCCTCCTGTCCGACTATAAGCAAGAGATTGCAGTTGTGCATACTCCGGCATTTCAACAATACCGGGCCAATCCTCCTTGGTTGGAATTCCGAGCACCTCGATGATTTTGGTCATTTGGTTGCGCTGGAAGGGTACGGTTTTCTTGCTATCCATTTTCGCTTCTTCGCCTTTGAAGATTGGACGAAGAGATAAAAGTTCGGCGAAGATGCAACCAACCGCCCAGAGGTCGACGGCGGGGGTGTAGTGTTTTGATCCGAGCAGGAGGTCGGGTGAGCGATACCAGATTGTTACGACGACTTTGTCGCCGGAGTAGAGGGAGGTGAGGGGTTTGTAGAATAATCTGGCTAGGCCAAGATCACCAATTCGGACGGCACCGTTGCTGGTTACCATTATGTTGGCAGGTTTGAGGTCACGGTGCAGGACCCAGTTGCGATGGAGGTAGAGGAGGCCATTCAGAAGTTGAAAGAGAATGCTTTTGATCATTGGTGCGGGAATCGCATGACGCGTTGGTTGCGAATGGTGGTGTATTATCTGAAGAAGGTCGTGTTCGCAGTATTCGAAGACCATACAGATACATTTATCCTCTAGGATGATTTCAACAAGATGGATAAGGTTGGGATGCGTCAACTCGGAGCAAAGCGATATTTCACGGATGGCGGATTGCGAAAGACCAGTGTATTGAATCGTCTCGCCTTCTTTATCCGGCTTGAATTTTTTAATGGCAAAAACTTCACGTGGTGCGGAACTTGCCGAAGTCGGGCTGGTAGCATCGCCGGCTTTATTTTTCCCTACTGCTTTATACACACGTCCGTAGGTGCCGCTACTGATGAAGCCGACGATCTGATATTTTTCTCGTACTTTGACTTTGCTTGTGTAAGTAGTCGGTGCCATCTTGCGGTCTAGGGGGTCTAGGAGAACGAAAGTCAGTATAAGCGCTTGCACAATGTCATGGAATCGCGTAGTTGTCTCCTATGCCCATAGTAGAACCGATAGCTCAGACAGAGATGAGTCAGATGTTCGGTACTACCGAATCTCTGCAGGAGAGGTTCAAGCCAAGGCGGACCGTGAATGGCCAGATCAGAGTTTGCGCTAGTCCGAGATGTATGTTCTTTCGATAAAGAGCTGTTTTCTGGCGCTATCACAGTATGTAGTATGGAGTCTGGGTGCGAAATTGGATCTAGCCAAAGAGTTCGAAGTGAAGGAAGTTTTGGCAGCCGACCGAGAGCAAGTATATGGTTGGACAATTTCGCCAGAGGAGCAGGACATGGTAGCTCTTCCGCAGGCCAATGTTCTGATGGCATTATTGGAAGCTCAATGTCATGCTCACTAGGCACCGGCGCTCGATGAGCAGGACGAAGTATTGGATGAAGGTCGCCAGAAAATTAATTGATCCATTTGCGTGCTTGGGACGTAATCCATGGCCTAGGATAAGGTAATAAAGGTGGATCTTGGTGCTCGAGGTCCTTCATGGGCAGGTCAACGAGATCCATGTTGACAAAGATGTCGAGACGTAGAAGTACAACCGACTTAGTTAATATCCTCGAAACGGTAGATAGGTATAGTATGCTGCTTGAGGTTCCTTAACCATCTGAACAGAGCAGAGAACATTTTAAGAATCCCCATTAGGAAAGAGAAAGGCAAGAGGGCTAGATGAGAAAGAGAGACAGGCAGGCATTACCGTCAAAAGCGGTTTGTACGCTTCTCTTCAGACTTGGAGCGGCAGTTGGGGGGAAGGCTGACCTGTTGAGGCCAGTGGCAGATTGTGGTTCTCCCAGAGCAGAAGGAGGGTCACTTGTAGAGAAACTCATGATTGCCACAGCAGGCAATGCTTAGTCAAGTTCGCTCTCCTGATGAAAGTGCCACAACAACATCTGAGAGATAAGAAGTCGCTCATGTTCGGTAGACAATGTATCGTGATCGAAGCCGGTGAAGACAGTCAGCTTGAGCATCTACCTCGTTGCTATATTTTCTTATGGCATTGAGATTCGAATATAGCTGCTCTGCGTGGATCACGTGTGAGGATATCACAGATTGAAGTAGCTGACACTCGCGTTCAATGGAAAGTGATTAGTTGTTCTTTGTTGCGGTCATATGCTCGGATTCGATGAACAACAGTGGAGGATGGGTTGTGCATGACTAAGTAGCTTTTAGCAGCCTTGGGCTTGACGGCGAACTCCGGATTGCGGCGATTGCTTCCCGTCAACGCATCTCTTTATCGACACTCTTCCTGCGAAATGACAAGTGAATGACCGTTGAATAATGCAGACTTGATACTCTGTCCCTGGCAATTTTGGTTGATAAATGGTACGTTCTGCTAATATCGTTCGTTGCTTGACGAGTTCAATTACACTAGAATTTGCCTGCTGATCGTTTACTCACATGGCCAGCCCTCACTACGCCTTCAACACCGTCCATAAGCCTATACTGGGCGGCCTTGAGCTCCATGGGAAGGGAGGAAGCATGGCTGTCGATACCCCAGCTCCCTCAAGCCTCTATCTCTGGTATCTCATAATTGTTGCCACAGTTGGGCCCCTACAATTCGGGTATCATTTATCTGAATTGAATGCCCCAGCCGACGTCATACGATGCGAACAGAAGAGCTCCCCTGCCTTTGCCGCTGCCCAGCTTCCGCAATGTATCCCTATGGATGGGAACGAGTTTGCTCTTGTCCAGTCAATATATACTCTGGGAGGACTTGTCGGCGCATTGATTGCTGGTCCAATAGCTACCAAGTATGGCCGTCTGCTCACGATGCGCCTCGCTACAATTGTCTTCATCCTAGGTCCAGCTGCTGAGGCCTTGGCTTCAAACATCCCTGTCATGAGTGCTGGCCGATTTCTTTCCGGCATTGGCGCTGGTGCAGCGACGGTTGTCTGTCCAATATACATCGCAGAGATATCACCACTCGAGAAGAGAGGCTTATACGGTGCTTTCACCCAAATCATGGTGAATGTAGGTATATTGGCAACGTTGCTGCTCGGTTACTTCCTGAGCCACGGTAACTACTGGAGGTTCATTCTCGCCGTTGCCGGAATGATAGGTGCGGCAGAATTCCTCGGACTGTTCTTTGCGCCCGAGACTCCGAAATGGCTCGCTGAACACAATCAGACGAATAAGGCTCGACGAGTTTTGCAGAGAATCCGAGGCCCAGATGCGAATATTGATGACGAGATCAAAGACTGGAAAATGGATTCCCCACAAGGAGAGGAGGAATCGTTGTTAGCTGCTCCTTCTGGCGAGTCACCTCCTCAGCAGCCCTCGATCTCTTTCCTGGGCGCAGTGAGACATCCCAAGTATCGTCCTGCTGTCATTGCAGTGATAGCTGTTATGGCTGCCCAGCAATTCACGGGGATCAACAGCATAATGATGTACAGCGTGAGCATTCTAGGTGGGCTTTTGCCAACTTCCGCGACCCTATTAACCGTCGCCGTTTCCGGACTGAATGTCTTCACAACTCTTGCATGCGCGCCTTTGGCAGACAAAATCGGCCGCAAGCCCTGTCTTCTTCTCTCCATTGCTGGGATGGGTATCAGCTCAATCCTGCTGGCCCTAGGTCTGGAATTTGGCGTCAAAATTCTTTCCGCCATCGCAACACTGACCTTCGTCGCTAGTTTCGCTGTTGGCTTGGGTCCTGTCCCTTTCATACTGGCCAGCGAGCTTGTTGGACCGGAAGCCGTTGGTGCGACTCAGAGCTGGTCTCTGGCATCCAACTGGATCTCGACTTTCGCTGTGGCCCAGTTCTTTCCTTTCGTCGACAAAGCGCTTGGCGAGCATGGTAGAGCATATTGGGTGTTTGCAGGCATGGCCCTGTTGCTGGGGTCGTTCATATGGTGGTGGGTACCCGAGACGAATCAGAAGGCGAGCGCGGACGAGGTTTGGGGAAGGACAGAAGATCGGCGTGTCGATTGAGGCGGTCGGCTCAATCCGTAGAAGAGGATCGTACTTGCAAAAGTTTAAAACCGAGGATGGTGGCTGAGTAATGCCTGTTCTCCTAGTAGAGATGTTGCTTGCGAATAGTCTCTGCCAGAGCGGAGATGTTGAGGCCACATCCATTAGCGATGGGGGAGATCTGGCAATAACAGTCCGCTTCAAGCATATTTTGGTACGATGGCCTTGATAGGGAGGATATGTCTTATCCGGGTATCAATACTGAGACAGGCAAACGGCATAATCACTACAGCTAGCAGCATCATTGCAGTACATCATGTCATCGCGCTGAAGAATAGATAGCGGAACATGCTCTGTTAGAGCTACTTATCATTGACAAGCCAAAAGGTGTGCTTGGTCATTAGTTAAAGTGTTCAATCTGTCCTATGGCTATTTCAACCTATCCGGAAAACCTCCAACCTTTTCTAGGCACCTGGGTCAGCGCTTGATTGTTGAGTTCCAGCCGCATCTGATGCGGTACATCTGAAGCTAGGAGCGTGGTTGTGGTTTGGCTGAACTCCTTCGCGGCAGTTGCAGACACCTCACCCTCAGGGCCACACACGACTGCGCCATATCTCACGTCGTACGGACCGAGCTCCTTGACCAAGACCTCGACCTCCGCGTTGGAGTCCGCATCCCGCAACAAGGGTGCATTGAACGCTTTGGCGGTCTCGAGTGGACTCATCGTCGTCCTGCGACCCAAGTGCCAGTAACCGTGGAAGGTGACGAGCACAAGCAGGACGGCAATGGCTGTGAGTAGGGTAGCAATGGCGAGGAAGTGGTAGTGAGATGCATACACGGCACGAGTGGCGATCTGCAAAGCAGGAACACTCTGTGCCTGGATTGAACTGTTGGTCGTGGCGGCGGCGATTGCGGTTCGGAACATCAATTCCCGAGCTGATGCAAGGATGTCGTTCGTCGGGTCGCCGAACATGATGTCGCACCCCCCTAGATTGAAGGAACCGTCTGTGTCGATATATTGGACTGCGGTTGCTCCTTTTGTTCGGAATTCGTATCCGATTGCTCCGCCGAATCTGAGGTGAGCTGAGGAATTGAACTTGTTATCCAAGGCTAGGTAGATTCCACCGAGCGTTGTCGTGTCTCCCTGTCGGGTTACAAAGGTGTCATTACCATACCCGCCGTCAACCTCGTCGTCAAGAATACTGGTGTTTGGCTTAAGAGTTATGGTTGACCTGTTTCCATCAATGACAACTGGGTATTTGACAGTAGCAAGTGTTAATGAGCACTCGTTGATCATTAACCTCCCGTCGCAATCGGCTTTGTCTTTGTATCTGATACCGAGTGTGATATTGTTGGGCTTTCCTGATGTCCAAGAAAAGTAGCTGGTGAACACCTCGGAACCATTCATCAGCGCCGGATCTAAAGTAGCGTCGTAAGTACCATTCTCGGCATAGGTAGGGCTTAGTTTGTAAGGCTCTTCAGACGAAGAGCAGTTGACTGCAAAACCAACACCTTTCACTGTGGCGGAGCACTTTCCCACACAACCAGTATCATTCATTCTGTTTTCTCGTTGATTATAATAGTCCTGCACCACCGGGGTGAAATTCTGCGTGTAGGCCGACACAACATACGAACGGCCCGATAGATACCCAGAGAAGCCATCAGGTAGACTTGTTGCAACGGCCAGCTTTACCGTGATCGGCTCGCTAGCACTACTGGCCTCCTTTACGGTCGACGCACGCTGAAGGAGCGGACCATTGATCGGTGCGATAGCAGTAAAGATGCAGGCCATTGCGATGAGATTAAAATAGCGGCCGCTTGTCGTTGCTGCCCATAAATTATTTGCAAAATCCCAGTACCGGTGTAAATCCCCCAGCTTGTTCTTCCCTTTCATCGCTTGTCTCCACCAGGCCACTCTGGCACCTTCTGTCAGAGCGAAATGCAGCATAATATTCGTAGCTGTGGAAGCAATGGATAGATAAACCGTGGGTTGGAACCTCCACCCTGAGATAGGAGCGCCGTCAGATATGATCAGGATAATGACCGAAAGAATAACCCCGAGAGTGCTTCCAAGTAGCGCTCCCAGGCCGAGCCAGGGGAACCGAGCCAGGAAGCCTGGGTGCCATGGCCTCATTATTCTCCCAGGAACACCCGTATGGGTGTTCGCATAGCCCATAGTATATGCATCCATTGCTTTTGTTCAAGGAGTCCTGGGCTTGTGGATAACCTCGAGGCAGGGGATCGTTAATTGTTGTAGAGTTTTTCTTCCTTCGGGAAGTCCTGAGAATGGCTGATGCGACGAAGACGAGTGAAAAATGTTAGGTAACCATAGGGAAGTCGATTGAGGCCAGCCGCACAATACCCATGTTGTTCATGCGCGCTTTACGAGCACTGGCTGGTCCAGACTCGTCAGACTCGTGTGCAGGAGGGCGTGAGCTTCCAGGAAAGACCACTCTTGATGCACCATATCAGGCTGGATATGCACGCGATGAACGACTCCATTCTTACTACGGTACTTTGTCCAAATCTAATATCCAAAATAGCGCACACGGTGGAGAGCACTGTCAACTCAAAGCGTTAATTGGTGGTGTATCTGCTGGAAATCTAAAAATATAAAGTTCCGCCGAAATAGCACCCCCACGGTGATGAATCTATCCCAGAAAGAAGGAGGAGAGGCTGGTATCTACTGTGCGGAGTGGCGCGTGCGCAGTCACGTGACACACAGCTCCAAGGATTTGGCGTCCGCTTATGGCCAATTCCAATAAAAGGATGGCCTGACCTTAACCTCTTAAACATGTCCGCAACTGAATCGGATACTACGCGCACTTCTAGGCGCATAGTACGTGCGTAGTACTAGAAGTACGATTCAGGTGCGGGGCACGGTTAATACTAGGTCCAATTAAGACCTTCTAACCCCATTCGAAACTTAATGGGTGGCCGTTCAGCGAAGATCCGATTTATCAACCGCTGCACCTCCCAGTTATTGCCTATTGCGAAAGTGTTGCAGTTTTTGGAGGTTGTGCGGAGTTGCTGGCGCCGCGTCATCAAACAGAAGGTCAAACAGAAACAGCTCTTGAGGGCCATCTATGTAAATTAATAAAGCTCATTCTTTATATAGTAAATCTTACTTCTTCAAAAAGAGTCTCTTATATCTGAAATCTATACTAGAAGAATCAGAAGAAGCTCAGCATCATTTTGATATAATATTTACATAATACCAATACATACATGGCCTTTAAGAGCTGTTTCTGTTTCACAACGCGGCGCCAGCAATTGAATTCTCAAGATAATGCCAAGGAATTGCAACACTTTCGCAATGCGCAAAACTAGTTAACCATTCTCAAGCCCCCGTGACATGCTGCTTTCATTCACGAAATCTCTTACAGACCATGTCTGCGTCAAATTGGCCCAGGAGTGATTACTACATAGTAGTTACCGTTCTAGACGACCTCTTTGGCATGCTTAAACGACTATGGCTTCTCGTTCCCACATTAATGCTGTAGCCGCTTGGTCATCCGTCGTCGTGCAAATGTTCGGCACCAGCACTCCTGGTATACCTCAATTTTATAAAACTCCTTATCATTAAATCAGTCAGATCGTAAGCCAGAAAGGGGATGAAGCTTAGTACACACAAATCACAGGTTTTTTATGCTATAAAGAAACGAGTCGCTCCTCTAACATGGGAAATGGACTGACGCCACAGATAATAAATCCAATCAGTTCTTCCTTAAGCTCTTCAAGGAATCTGTTATCAGTTCTTTTTTGGAACAGCAAATAAGCACTCTCTTCCAACGACTCCACCACTTTTCTGTTCACGAACATCCTAATTACATGCACCATCCGAGTCTAGCTTCAACCTATAGGTCGAACCAGAATGGGAGCTCCCCGGAGATCGACGAAGGGTAGAGCGCCTGGCAGCACCCATGAATGCGCGGATGAAAATCCTATCTTCAAAACCAATGGCAATGCGGGCTATTAGTGTCTGGTACGAACGGTGCGAGATTCAGAGTAGTACTCCCTCATGATGATCTCTCTATCAACCTTGATTGGTCTACAAGATTTACATCGCCACATGAATTGACTAATTGCTATCTTCACCATTACCAAAAGAGCCACCTCCACCACCCCTCTCCTTTAAAGTCTATGTCACAAACGGTGCTCAAACCAGCGACGAAACGGTCAGGACTCTTGCTGTTCCCATATTTTACCTTCTGAAAGATGGTATATTCCCAGACCTACCTTATTATCCCCTAGATGTCTTCTTCCTGGTGAACGATGTATCTTTAACTATCTCTCTAAGCTCAAGATTTTATGCTCATGGACTCTTTTCATTCCGGCCGTCTCTCCATCAGACCCCTGTCTCCTGATCTGGACCTGCAATAGCGTACTGCAGCACCAGATACTCAGTTTCCAGGGCAATCCATCACACGTACAGAGCAGAGACGCCGCGACTGAGTAAGCTCGAGGTGCGATACTTCTGGGGCATGTCACTACTGATGGATCATTTGCAGTTCGATCCGTCCATGAACCAGCATCTACCGTCAAGCTCTATGGCAAAAGGATCGGTTGCAGCTGCCACTGTTCTAGCTCGTTACACTCTTTATGCATGAACTTAGACGTTCGCGGTCTGGATTATCATGTATAATTGCCTCGTGTGACGAAAAGGAGTTGAGGAGCACTTTAAAAATACCGCGAGACATGTACACTCCTAGCTATGCAAGGCGGTTCTCTAGGCAACCTATTGAAGGTCGATTGCTGAATATGACTTTCAGTCAAGAACATATCTGATACCTGGAAGAGAAGGCCAGTCCCCACCGCTCCAATGATCAAAATGGATGAAGACTTTAGTTATTAGCTATCTGATGATCAAGCCCCGACGACTTTGCACAGCACCATTTCACATTCTGCTAGTGGGATATCTCAAAGCACGGTTACCAAGTTCAACCTTGCATCTCGATTCCTCCAGTGCCATGAATGACCTCACCAGTGAAGTAAGAGCCCATTGGCGAGGCGAGGAAGACGTAAGCCACAGCGACCTCGACGGGCATACCTGGTCGCTGCAGAGGAGCCGCCTGGGTCCCTAATGCCTCCATATTCTCTGCTGGATTTCCTTTTGTTGCAGGCTGTAATGGTGTCCAACTACACAGAAAGTAAGCATTTGACCGTCGAGGACCACTCCGATGACACTTACATAATTCCTGGAGCAACCGCATTGATCCTGATTCCTTTCGGCGCCTGCTGCTGTGCGAGCGCACGTGTGAAGGTGGCAATTGCGCCCTTCGTGCTGGAGTAATCGACCATCGTTGGATTGCCCATGTATCCAGCAACCGAGGTGGAATTGATCACACTTGAACCTCTTTTCATGTGCTTCACAGCATACTTCGTCAAAGCAAACATGCTCAGAATGTTGGTTCGGAAGGTCTTTTCAACGATGTCCAGATCGATATCCTTGATGTCCTGGCATACTTCCTGCATAGCTGCATTGTTCACCAAGATATTGATCTTCCCAAAAACTTTCATGTGCTCATCGACTGCCTTCTGACAATTTTCACGGCTGGTGATGTCAAGAGGCATGAGGTGTGCTTTACGTCCGGCCTTCTCGATTTCTTTTTTGGTTTGCTGGGCGTCCTCCTCTTCTTCAGGGAGATACACAAATGAAATGTCGGCTCCTTCACGAGCCATAAGAATGCCAACAGAGCGACCGATTCCTGAGTCGCCGCCTGTGATCAGCGCAGCTTTGTCCTTGAGCAGTCCTCTTCCTTCATACTCTTTCAAATACGGGCTCTTCCCTTCATCATCCCAGAACTCGAGTTGTGTCCAGTTGGCTGCGGGCTCAAGTTTGGAATCCAGACCCTTCCCTGGTGCTTGGTCTTGGGCTTTGAGAGAAGTACTGGGGTAAGCTGTGGGAGGAGCTTCTGAGGAAGACATTGTGCACACAGATCCGGCTAACGCAGGTGTAGATTTTTCAAAATATGTAGTCTACAAAGAAAATGAATAGGAATTGTTCTACTTATTTCGTCGCTGTTGACAGTTGTGGCATGACATCAAGATGATGACGATAGGTGGTCGTCATTGGGCACCCGCGGTAGATCCCCAGTTCAAGAGACAGCCGAGAGCTAGGCCATGGTCGAGACATGATTACAGGGCTGTTTAGCGAGCCAGCCTGCAGTGGACTCGCGATTGTTCCTGGTCCCCACTGCCTGGATAGATCAATGCTGGAGTCGTTGGTTATGCTTTCCGGACAGGAGGACAGACTGAGGGGCCAAGAGCTGAAATTGTGGGGCAGCAACTTGAATGGACCTGAAACTTGAACCTGTGGGTCGGAAAAGCCGAGAACGCCGCAAAGCTTGACCTACTACTGTAATGCGGGCGGATGGCTTCAGCTGCAGTGACCGTGACACCTAACTAGGCACCACAAGCTGAAAATTGTTACCAAGCTCTGCGCTATCTATGCCAAAAAAAAAAAGGAAAATAGAATAGAATAGATTTTCATTCCCTCTTCCTTGAATGGCATACGTTGATCGGCTGCTGATCAGTCAAGTCGCTCACACTGCACTGCCCCTCTGGGCATCAGGGTCCATTATCCAACCGACAGCTAAAACCTGGAGTATCTCCAACCAGATCAAGTTTGTCTGACAGGACTAAGTGCCAGCTCACACTACAAAACGTTAGCATCTATCACCTCTTTTGAACAATTTTTCTGGTTCCCAACGGCTACTGCTGTGATATTGAAGTTGTCGAGACTGCTGAGCTTCAAAACATGGTTCGAATTGGCCTTACCCATCGAATTAGCAACCATTTGAGTTCTAGAGGAGGAAATGGATCGATCGACCACAGTCGAAGTGGAAGCCCGACAAGGCAGGCCAGTGTCGGAGATTCGAAGCCTCTGACGCTCAAAGTTAATGTCATTAAGGTACGTACTTCACCTGCACATTCATCCTTGCATGCAAACTCACCTTTCCAGGGCCGCAACCTGGCAGCTAAGGATAGAGGAGGAACGAGTGATCCAGTAAGGCGAGGCCATCCCCAGAGAGATGGTCTCTAACCTTAGACAGTACCTTGTCGTCACACTTGGAAGTGCAAAGCAGTCGACCCCAACCATCAACAAGACCTTGAATCCAGAATGGAAAACATGCTTCGATATGCCGTTGACTGGAGTACCGCTGGTGGAATGTATTTGCTGGGATAGAGACCGCTTTGGAAAAGATTACATGGGTGAATTTGATATTGCTGTGGAAGACATCTTTGCGGATGGCCAATTACACCAAGAAGTATGCGTAGCTCAGGTTTTGCTTGGAGAAAATTTATCACTGACACTATGTAGCCAAAGTGGTTCCAGCTGAAATCTCGACGCAAGGGGGGTAAGAAGAGCAGCGAGGTATCAGGCGAAGTGCAGATCCAATTCTCCTTGATCGACGCCGCAAATCCTACAGCAAGCCCCGAAGAGATCTACCTCAAATTCAGATCGACAATACTGGCAGCTGATGGGGACTCGGACGAGGGCCTGTCACCGATGCCCAGCCATGAGGGAAACGTGGACCAGGACAGCGATGCTGATAACGATGACGGAGATGCGGTGGACCAGACTGGAAAAGATGAGGAGACTTCGGATGAGACCGAGGATCAAACAAAACCTGATCTTGAAAAGAAGAAGAAAAAGAGGAAGCTGAAGATGCTTCGGAGAAAGTCCAGAGCAATTAGAGCATATGAATTTACTGGCAAGGACAGTGATGTTTCGGGAATCATATTTCTTGAGATCGTCAAAATCACTGACTTACCTCCAGAGAAGAACAGTAAGTATTCCGAGTCTATTACTTGCAGACGTGACCTAAGACAGAAACAGTGACGAGGACCTCTTTCGATATGGATCCTTTCGTCGTGACAGCTCTGGGACGGAAAGTCATGAGGACCAAAGTCGTGAGGCATAATCTCAATCCAGTATACAACGAGAAGATGGTTCTTCAAGTGATGCGCCACGAGACTGCATATTCTATATACTTCTCGGTCATGGATCGTGATACGCTTACCGGCAATGATTTTATAGCTTCCACGAACTTTCCTGTACAACGACTAGTGGCAGCTGCGCCAGAAGCCGACCCGGCGACAGGTCTTTACAGATTACCCGAACCTGTGGAGTCTTCTCCAGCACTCCCAAAGGAAAACAGATCTCGCTTCAGGCTACCACTTTCGCGATCGGCCTCCTCGTCGAGCTTGTCAAAGCTAACAAGACCTGCTCTTAAATCGAACAATTCTCAGAACTCATTGTCAAGCTCGTCACAATTGGACCTTCAGGACCGGCAGACCACAAGTCTAGCACCCACAAATATAGCACCCACCAGTACCCCTTCAGAGCCACCCAGCTTCCCGCGCATGAACAGCAGCGGTGAGGGTGAAGCTGCCCAGCAAAACCCTGAAGATCCTGATCTGCTCCCTCTCGTCATACCGCTGACGTTAAAGAATAAGGAGCGTTGGGAAGACAAGCACTTCCCAGAACTGTACATCACTGCAAAGTACCTGCCCTATCGCGCCTTACGCCAGCAATTTTGGAGGGCCATGCTTAAGCAGTATGATGCGGATGACAGTGGACGTGTCAGCAAAATTGAACTTACTGCCATGCTAGATACTCTTGGCTCCACCCTGAAGGAGAGCACTATCGACAGCTTTTTCCACCGCTTTGCTGAAGAGAACGAGTCAGCTGATTCTTTGGACCTGACTTTCGACCAAGCAGTCATATGCTTGGAGGAGCAGCTACTAAAGGCTACGCAGAAGGCAACTATTAGACAAAAAATCAATGGACTCGGCCATCATATCCGGGAAGCAACGCTTGCCAATGGAGAACATGAAAATGGCCTCAAGACGAAAGCCGAAGGCAACAAGCACGACTCAACTAATGTGGAGCCAGATCGATCTGCTATTCCTGTCATCGACCAGGACTCTACTGGTAAGTTGGGAGAAGAGGGCCATCTTCTTGATGAAGATGACCTCGCGGATGAAGGCGGCGAAGAACATGTCATTGAGATCCGTGAGTGTCCATTGTGTCATCAGCCACGCATGGGCAAGAGATCAGATGCAGATATCATCACCCATATTGCAACATGTGCCAGCACGGACTGGCGGCAAGTGAACAATCTTGTCATGGGTGGATTCGTCACCTCGAGCCAAGCACAACGGAAGTGGTATTCGAAGGTGATCACGAAAATATCCTATGGCGGTTATAAATTGGGAGCAAATTCTGCGAACATCCTCGTTCAGGACCGCATTACTGGCCAGATCAACGAAGAGCGCATGAGTGTCTATGTGAGACTTGGTATCCGACTATTATACAAGGCAATGGGCAGCAGGGAGATGGAAAAGAAGCGGAGTAAGTCATGCCTGTTCATGTTCATGATTGATACGACGTGCTAATGTGAGAAGTCCGGAAAATGCTCAGATCCCTCAGCTACAAGCAAGGGAGGAAGTACGATGATCCCGCCTCGGCCAGTCAAATCGAAGCTTTCATCGCCTTTCACCAGCTTGACATGTCGGAGGTGCTGCTTCCGTTGGAACAATTCAGAACTTTTAATGAATTCTTTTACCGTGCTCTGAAACCAAACGCACGGCCATCCTCTGCACCAGACGACCCCAGGGTTATAGTTTCTCCAGCCGACTCCCGCACTGTCGTCTTTGATAGAATGGATGACGCTACTAGGATTTGGGTCAAGGGCCGCGACTACTCCGTTGATAAGCTTCTTGGCGATGCTTATCCTCTGGATGCCAAACGATATAAGAACGGTGCTTTGGGCATTTTTCGACTGGCGCCACAAGATTACCATCGATTCCACATACCTGTAGATGGAACGCTGGGAACGCCAAAGCTCATTGAGGGTGAATATTATACGGTCAACCCCATGGCTATCAGGTCGGCACTGGATGTGTACGGTGAGAATGTCAGAGTCATCGTGCCAATCGACTCGGTGGCCCATGGCAGGGTCATGTATATCTGCATTGGTGCAATGATGGTTGGAAGCACAGTAATCACCAGGAAGGCTGGCGAGAAGGTCAGGCGAGCAGAGGAACTGGGCTACTTCAAATTCGGAGGCAGCACTATTCTTCTCCTTTTCGAACCAGGCTCGATGAAGTTTGACGACGACCTTATCGAGAACTCCAACGGCGCCTTGGAGACTTTAGTGAGACAATCTCCCGCTGAATTTGATTCTGAGACTGACATCTTTCAGGTTCGGGTTGGCATGTCTATTGGTCATCATCCTTCGGCAGGGCCTTTTACTCCAGACATGAAGAAGAACGAAGAGAATATCACAATAGAAGACCGACAGGAAGCTAAACGGAGGATCGAGGGAAGCCTAGCTCCGGAAGCCTAGCGCCGGAAGCCTCATGACTGTGATTTGGATCGTGGTCCTCACATTCTGGTCAGCTCAACCTGCCATCCAGTCAGCTGAAGGTTTCTGCATCATTCACTCTATGTCGTAAAAGCTGTCCGAATGTATTGTTGAGTATGCTTGCGACTACCACTGAGGGTGCTGTTATTGATCAAGTGCTTGTAGCAAAGGAGTGATCGGTTGGAGTCGCACTCTGGACATTTGTGTCTTCCGC